CTACATAACACAACAAGCCCATGATACTTGCATCTTGACATGCATTTAAAGCAAATGTACAAGAAGGGTCTTCTCACTGAATTCCACTTTTACTACACTACAACATTAATGTTGTTACAAAAAAAAACTAAAAAAGGAAAGAAAAAGCCTCTACAATCTCTCAAATTATCTTAAAGCATTTTTAGGCAAATCAAAACCTTAGAATTTATGGATCACTGCATTAGAAAAAACTATCAACATCATATCTGAACATGGAGGTGAAAATATTTTAGATTGTGTGTAAGGATTGGTGTAAATCACTTTTCACATTCATAGTCAACACTTCAGTTTGGTGTCAGTAGCAGCTATGAAATTTAACTTTTGCATGCACTAGTACAACAAGGTATCTGTTCAGAACATCCATTTAGAGTATACTGGGAAAATAACACCATTGCAGTAATGCTGCAGAAAGATTTCATTGCTGGGGATGAGTTTTCTACATCTACAGATTTACTACAGAGCAGATCCTAAAAGAAGAGGCTTTTAAACAAGTGAGGGGAAGATTCCACCATCTCAAAGCAATGAAGAGCCTGCAGACAATTCAGCATTTCAGACCCTTGGGTAGGTGCCTATTAAGAAGATGGAAATCCAACAGTAATTCCCAATTAGCTCTCCAGGCATGTTGGGATCCCCATCAACACATCTGCTTAGAACAGACTGAAACATCTGCCCCAGGGACAGCTGGAATATGGAAGTGCCACGACCCTACAAAAAGAGGGCACGTGAAGTTGCTTTTATTACAGTTTTTTTGAGGGGCACACAGTACTAAAAGGTGCAGAAGTTATTTCAGCCCTTAAAGTAGGTCCCTATGTATCAAGCTGGAGCACAGGAAATTTTAAGGTATGTTGTAAAAAAAAACCCTGGCAAGGTTTTACACACAGTCATCAGATCCCTCCTCAGTGAAAACACTCCAGCTCCATTTCATGGCTGTTCTGCCTAGAGGAGGGTTTGCTCTTTATGATCATGTAATATTCTCACTAATTTATCTGACACTCGTTTCCCCAACCCACCCACTCTTTTCTCTGCTCAGCACTCCTTACCTCCTTGTGACACTTCTTGAGCAGACTGATAATTAGGTTACACTCTTCAGTGTGCAGATGAGGAGACAGGTCTGGATGCATCTTTAGTTAGGGATGATTTCAGTAGCACAGGGGACAAGAACCCGAGAAAATTTCCACCTGCCAACACTAAAATGGGAAAGTATAACTAGAAAGCTTGATTTAACACATATTATCAGCAGTATTTTAACAAAATGTATTTTAGATCAAAATGCAGCTTAATATGTATAATTTATATTACACAGTTAAAGTTATTAAACCCAGCACATGTCTGATCTTCCACACAGCCCAAATGTTAAAAGTCAACTAGAAGTTGATAATCTTGGCTATCATGGACACAAGCACACAGTTGGGATTTTCATTTTCAGGGACTCTCCAGCAGCATTAATCTTTCTTGAACTGCAGATTATCTTTTCACTTTCCTACTTCAATTTTCTGCTTTCTTGCTTTAAGAAAGTGAAGTGAATGTGATTTTCTTTCTACCTTCTACAGAGTTGAAGTAGAACAGGAAGCACAATGCACTTTCATTACAGCACTCTGAGAACTGCCACCTTTTTTATCTACAGGCTTTTTAATAAGTCCTAATCCAAACACTGGTGATGTTTTAAAAACCAGTAATTAATCACTTCATCAAAAGAGTAATGATTTTTTTTTAATTACACATAATTGGAATGTCCCTTCTTGCAACTCCATGTTGTTTGTTTGCTTAATATTTTGTCATTCCCTCTTCTCCCAAGGAGATCACCTTTCCTGCTGCAGTACATCAGGCAAACACCACTACAGCTTGTACTGAACAGCCATCACTGTCTTAAACCTCCACCTGAACAGACCAGGCAAATACAAATAGCCAGTGGTCAGATTCTACAATTGCAAAATCCCCCCAATTCAGCTGCAGTGCTGGCAGCAATAATCCACACTGCTGTTTTTAGGATGCTCAAGGAAATATGTTCAGCCTGGAGAGGTACATACACTAAAGTACCCAGTACTTCCCATCATGTGCTCAGCTTAACAAGAGTTAAGATTCCCACAAGCAAACTAAATTTTAACATTCCAAACACTTAAAAGCCTCTTGAGAACCACGAGAATCACGTTCCACAGAGTGTTGTGAACATATGTAGTGATTTCTTCCAAAAATCTTCCCCCATCCTATCTGGAAGTCTAATATTACACCACACTTACTCCTGGCACAGAAGTTGTTGGAGACTGTACAAGTTCCTTAAGCATTCTATCTGACAAATTAACAAATGAACCTTTGGAAATATGACAGCAGGAGCACGACTGGAACAGCAAAGTGATTAAGAACCCTGCTGTGTTATTGCCACCAGCTTTTGATTGCATGCCACACAAAGTCAATATGTTTTAAATTTATCAGTGGAGGTTTCTGATAGCACTGGAGTTAGTGCTCCCTGGGGAGGGTGACCTGCTCAGTGGCTGTTGCTTTACTGGAACACGTGTGAACCCAGATGATTATTAAAGCTCTTCATCATTCAGCCTCCTCAAAGAGCCACCCCAGGGGGCTGTCTGGGAGGGAGGCAGCAGGAGCAGCATCCCAGGGAAACAGGGAATATGCACATCAGCACAGGCCAGAAAGTCAAACGGAGCACTTGAAGGAAAGACTTGGTGAGGTGTGCACTTCAGCAATGAAAACCTTCCAACAACTCAAAAGCATCTTCCAGTGGCCCCTCTTGTAGGACAGAAGCTACAAATCAAAGGGCCCAGCTTTGCTTTGCGCGGTGCCACAGAACACAAACATTGCTGCGAACACTCAAACAACACCCACCAGGCGGCAGCAGAACCGAGCACAGCAGAACGTGGACTCGCAGCAGGGACTGGGGAACAAACCTGGAATTCCTCTAAAGAGCCACTCTCCACGTTTAACATTTATTTTTGCACTTCATGTCACTGTCTAACTTGAGCAAAACCAAACATTTGGGGTCTTAAATTCTCAGTTATGTAGCATTGTTCTGTTTGGCATTGGGAAAAAAATACTTACAATCCAAACGACTCTGTTTATTCAAATCCTTGGTGTTTTCTGTGAGACTGTACAAAGTTTTAGCATAAAAAAGGGTTCAGCTCCACACCCAAAGGTATCATTGATGTCACTTCAGCAGAACTTTTGCATTCCCAGTGTTACCTTTTATACGCAAAGGATTTTTGGTGACAAGCTTTGAATACTTGGATCAGTCATTCAGTGAAACGAGAAATCACAGCTGATGCACACAATCTCAAAACGGAAGGGATCTCTTTAATAAAACACTTTTACCCAAGTCTTACAAAAATTAGTCATAACCTCTTGAATTTTGGTCTCTAAAACTACTCTAAAACCCAGTATTTTTTAAAAACTTTGAAAAATGAGGTTCATACCACGTTCTGCTACCATTTCAACATCCCTGACAGCAGCAGAATGAGCTCACCTGCCACTTTTAGTAATAAGTGTCTGATCAAACTACATCATACCTGATTTCACACCTAGTAAAGCAAGAAGGTGTTGGTCCTAATGAATAAAGCAGGTTGAACACCAGCTTGAATATCAATCCATTTCTACAGTTTTATTTCTAAGATGAAGGGACTTAGTAAAGCACAAGAGGGCATTAAGGTTGTGTTCACATAACAAACATCAGCATAATTACAGGACAATTATTCTGACATACAGCCAGTGCCACTGCACAATATAACACTGTATCACAGATGACTGAAGGTGTCTCTTCCTATTCCTGCTATGCCTGTGAAGACAACAATATGCAGTCAAGAATGACAAGACCCAGCCACCATAAAAGAAAAGCGTTATCCAGTGAGAGGTGTCCCTGTCCATGGCAGGGGGTTGGAATGAGATGATCTCTAAGGTCCCTTCCATCACAAACCATTCTATGATCCTGTAAGCACAAGGTGCTGTCACCCAAGTCCTGTTTTGCCAGCTGCTCTTGTACTTTGGCTGCACCCACCAGACCGGGCTTCGTTTCATCCCTGTTTCACGGATTTCCCAAAGAGCGCCATAACCCCAGTGCTGCCAGCAGGATCTCCCCGCTTACTGTGAAACAGCTGGGGAAGGGAGCAAGAGGATCACACTTCCCTGCTGGAAAACAGACCCCTCGGGCAGCCAGAGCCCCTGACGAAAGGCAGAAGGTTAAACACTGTCCGAGTGACACGGCTGTGCCACGGGGTGGCTGCGAGGGGCCGGCTCTGTTACCAGGGGAAGGCGGGGGGTCCCCTCGAACCCGCGCTGTCCGCAGCTCCTCACTGCTCCTGCAGGCCTTCACCCAGCGGCGGGACACAACACACGGACACAGGGACAGCGGCTGGCGGCACCCACAGCGGCGAGACCCGCGCCCCCCTCAGAGCCGCCCTTCCAGAGCCCTCCCTGAGCCCCGCGGGGAGACGCGCGGCGAGCGGAGGGTCCCAGAACGCGGACCCCCCAAGGTCAGGCGGTGGGGAAGGGAAGAACGCGACAAGGGGAAGGAAAGAAGGAAGGAGGATTTCCCTACACACCTTCTTTCCCCTCAGGGTTCCCCGAGGCCCCGCCCGAGGCCGCCCCTCACTCTCTGCCCGCGGCGCGGGGCAGGCACAGGGGCAGGCGCGCTGTGTCGGGCGGCCCCGGCCGGAAGCCGCCTCAGCCAGGAGGGCGCGCGCAGCGCCGGGGCGGGCGGCGCTGTGATTGGGCGGCCGGGGCCCGGCGCGGTCTCTGATTGGCTGGTTCGAAAGGCGGGCGGCGCGCGGCGCGGCCCGGCCCGGCCCGGACCCGCAGGGCGGGAGCGCTGAGGGGCGGCTGCTCCCTTCGGTCCCGCCGCTCCGCTCCGTTCTGCTGTTCTCTCTGCTCCGCTCCGTTCTGCTCTTCTCTCTGCTCCGCTCCGTTCTGCTCTTCTCGCCGCTCCGCTCGGTTTGACCGCTCCGCTCCGTTCTGCTGTTCTCGCCGCTCCGCTCGGTCCCGCCGCTCCCGCTGCTTCGACCGCTCCTCTCAGTTCTGCTGCTCTGCTCGGCCTGGGGCTCTCTGCGCGCCCGTGCCCGCTGTCTGAGGGCACTCACCGGACCAGACAGGCAGGAACAGCCCTGGGTGAGTCCCAGTGCCCCGCCTCTCACCTCACACAAGGCCTCGGGCAGGAAGGGGAACTTCTGAGGGCGGGAGTGAGGGCACTTGGTTTGCTCAGAGGGGGAAGCTCATCGCGGTTTGCACCTTCCTCGGGAGGGGCAGGCACTGATCTCTGCTTTGTGGTGACCTGTGACAGACCCGAGGGAATGGCTGGAGCTGTGTCAGAAGTTTAGGTTGGATGCCAGGAAAAGGTTCTTCCCTCAGAGGGTGGTCGGGCACTGAACAGATTCCCCAGGGCAGTGATCACAGCACCAACCCTGACAGAGCTCCAGGAGAGCTTGGACAACGCTCTCGGGCACTCAGTACAGTCCTTGGGGTGTCCCGTGCAGGGACAGGAGTTGGACTCGATGAGCTTTGTGGGTCCTTTCCAACTCAGAATGTTCTCTGGTTCAGCGGTTCTGTGAAAGTTGTTGCAGAAGCGTTTTAACTCGCTGTTGGTGGTGTCTGCCTGAGTCTGTGGTAGTGCCACGTTTAGGACTCACACCAACCTGTTGCCACTCGTGCCAAGGTCAGCTTTGTGCACCTTCAGAGGGATCAAATCCCCCGAGCCTGCCAATGCCTTGGTCTTTAACTTCCTTAACCTTTCAGCTTTCCAGGTGGCTCCATCATGGACGAAACTGTGGCTGAGTATATCCGCAGGACTGTGCTGAAAATCCCCCGGGATGAAATCAAGATGATGCTGCAGAAGTGGGGCTTTCTCTCTGAGGAACAGCTGCAGACCCTCAACTTCCATCAGCTAAAGGATAACATTTCCCAAGAAGTTGTTCAGCTCTGTGAGGTAAATCCTCCCCTTTGGGAACTGTCAGTGACAGACAGGATGCACAGTGAAGCACCATCAAAAAAAATCATCTTTGGCCCTAAAACAGCATCAAATGGCAGTTTGTAGTCTAGAAAATGCAAAGCTGAGCTGGTAATACCATTAGTTTTGTCTGGTTTATGGGAGTGTAGAACTGCCCCATGCTAAGTATGAAAATACATATTTTAAGCTCTAAATTACACAAGTTAGACAAAAGCTCAGAGTGTTACACCTTTGAAAAATGTGTGCACTCTGGGACCAGGGGTGGTGTCTTTGAGCAGAGTGGACGTGCTGGGGGCTCCAGTAGCAGTGGAATTTAAACCCCCAATACTCAGAGTTTTCACGTGCTGAGCAGTGTGATTGAGCATCGTGGACCTGCAGTTCACCATGCACTGTTCTTTCTAGGAGAATTCTGCAGACATAAAGCAAGCAGCTGTCCTAGACATAATTTGTAAGTAAAAAATTAATTAAAATAGCTTTCTTTCTTTTTTTTTTTTTTTTTTTAGTAACTTGATAATGCCCTTAATTACATAGTGATTACTGTGGGGCAGCACTTGGTGTAAGCAGATCACATTTGAGATGAATCTTATTGGAGGTGACCTTGTTTAAGAAAAGCTCAAAATCAACAAAAGCATTTTTGCTTCTCCTGAGGCCTCAATAGATGGAAAGTGTTGGAACCCACATCCAGCACACAATTATAAACAGAGATACAGGTTTGTCTCCAGTGTGCACTAAAGCAAATAATTCCAAGCTCCAACAGGGAGTGACAGGCAAACCTATCAGCAAATGCTCCAGTTGGAACTCTTAACTCCAGTATTAATTCCCATCTCTTTTCATAAAAAAACTGGTTTATATTTGCTATGAGCAGTAGTTTAAAAATGCTGAATAAATTACATTGCATTAGCAGGAGTAATCTTTTTTTAAAGTAACCTGCCTGTAAAAGTATTGTAAAATTCTTTGTTCCTTTAATTACTGTTTGACAATACATTATGTTATTGAGCAATTCTGCCTTTTCTAGACAACCACATCTACCAAAATAAGAGAATGTGGAGTGTTTACCAGATGAGAAAAACAGGTAAAATGTCTTTCCTTGCTTCCTTTCCTTCCTTTTCACAGTTCTCAGCAACTTAGTGCTGTGCTGCCTCATATCCTACATTTTAAATATAAATATAGTCTCACATGGATTTCTTCTGTAGAGAGATTTTGAATATTTTACTGCAGTTTAGTATGAATTTTTCAATGGAGATATCTTTATTGTTTTTACAATACTTTCTGTTGAGTTCTCAAGCAATTATTAGAAATTAGTGACTACTAATTAAATATTAACCTTTTCTGTATATGGCAATAATGAGAGTCAGACTTAGCACACTCTTTGTATAAGGTTATGCAACTTCAGCCTTTTCTGCTTAATTTTCTTGCAGCAAAACTAAAACCAACTCTGAACTAGTTCTTTTACAGACAATTCTAATTTCTGGATTGACTTTTCCCCTCATGTAACAGGAGAAGAACTGGAATATTTTGACTTAACAGATTTCAAAAAGAAATTTAAAAGGAGACTTCGGTCAACCTTGAAAAACGTAAGAATGAATCCATTCTAAGTTTTGTTGCACAGCTCTGGTGTCAATATGTTGTTTTCATAACCTTTCCTCACAGTTGGTGTCAAAAATTAAGTGGAGTTATTCATTTGGGAATGGTAGGAACTGCATGTGAAATAGCAAAAATGTACTGCATATCTGTTCTAGCAACTTCACAGTTATGCTGGAGGGGATTAAAATTGTGAATTTGTCTTAAAATGGGACTGACTTCAAGAAAGTGGTGGTGTCTTCTTATCAAATCTTGCTGTATTTGAGTGCACAGTAAGTTGGGATTTCTTTGCCTGTTACTCAGTAACAACACACAACAAAAATCTTATCAAACAGGATGGAGGGAGTTTGAAGTAGCCATTAAGCAGGACAAAGGAGTACATTTAGATTAGTAACAACATTGTATTCATTTTCTTTCAGTTCTGGCTTTGAAATGGCATTTTGTGATGGCTCTGAGAACTTGGCTCTGGTGTTTCTTTACAAAATGACTGCAAAAAGCACTGTCAATAGCAAGCAGCGGTTTCTAAAGTGCAGAAATGAGCGTGCTAAGATAAAAATTGGAAGGGAATACTCTCATTTCACTTTTTTACTAAGGAATTTGCAGAAGCCTTTTCTTCCTTTAGTTCACCAGCTTCATTTAGGCCAGATAATAGAAAATGCCTCTGGCTAATTCCCTATGTCACTCACTGACACCCAGTGCATTCCCACTGACAGCAAACACAAATCAGGCTCCCACTTCACATCACTCTCTTATAAGAAAAGCCTGCAACATTTTTGTTCTTAAAAAAGAAGGTTTCTCAAAGCCTTCGAGAAGTATTGTTGGCCCAGCAATTTCAACAGTTTATGCCCTACTTGTGCCTCAGACAAAAAGTGAGTTGTTGTTTTGTTTGTTTGTTTTTAAAGGAAGTTTTTCCACTCCAAAGTCACCCAGATTGAGTCAAGGTAAAAAGAAGTAAAAAAGGAGCAAATCTACAAGAATAACAAAGGGAATCTTCAGCCTTCTGATTGTGAATTCTTGAGCAGTGATAAATATTATATTTGGGTCTAAAATCACAAGTTGATCAAAAGTTTAGTTTCTCCAAAAATGGACATATTGGAATTTTGCCACCAACCCTCCATCTAAACAGACATCTTTGTGTGTTGATATTTTCCCAAAGGAGAAATCAAGGCTTTTGTAATAAGCTGGTTTTATTGTCACCCTTCACAAGAAAATGTGCATTGACAGGAAGAAAAGTAATATTAGAGTTCAAAAGGTGATTGTTCTTCTTATCCCAGCTGGTGAGGCCACTGTTTTTCAGTGGAAATTCGATTCAAATACAACCCTGACCACACTTAGTGGGTTTTGTTTCTTCTTCAAGCAGTGGGGCACTAAATGGTGGTTGGGGTTAAGAGATAACCAAATCTTTGTGGACACTGAAACATGAGGGTAAATCAAAGCTTTCCTTTTCCTCTCAGGTCACCATCACCTTCAGGGAATATGAGGACAATGCCATCTGGATTCGAGTTGCCTGGGGCACACCCTACAGGCAGCCCAACCAGTACAAGCCCAGCTACGTCGTGTACCACTCGCAGACTCCCTACGTGTTCATCTCTGCCTCGGTGCTCAAGAGCAACCTGCCCCTGCTGTGCCAGGTACACAGCAGAGCTGCTGGGACCCTGATTTCACCATGGCCAGCCAGAGCTCTGTGAGCTTCCAAGAGGATGGGGACAGATTCCTCACTGAACACAATTTACTACATTATGTATTTATTTTTTTTTTTAATCCCTCCTGATAAAAATGGGGCAAACCCCAAATCTTTGGATCGGCACCTCATGAATAAATTCAGTTCATGGGGATTTTTACTGATCCTGAATTGTTCTGATTTCTTAGCAAAGTGTAAGGCAGTATTTGATTAAATTGTCTCATAGAAGTTGAAGAATATTACATCAACAGGGTTAAGTTGAAGAACTAAACACATGAGCTCACCAGGGAATGCTCTTGATTAGTTTTAAACCATGTTTTCTGTTAACTTGTGATCAGTGTTGGTAGTCTTTTTTTTTTCTTCTATTCAGCAAACTTCTGCAGTAGTAATCTAAATATTTTATTACTCTGCTTGTTTATTTTTCATCTGATAAGGCTATGGGGCTTATCTTGTTAATCCTGGGAATGCTTTTAAATATTAACCTGAGCTTAATAAGAGTCTATGCAAGATTTTTTCAGATATGAGCATCCTGCTGTTTGAGGGGCAGTTTCTTCCCTTGAAACAAGAACATCATAATGTCTAGAAATACTGTATTTTTGACATATTATAAGCACAGTGGTGATTAAGAATGATGTTAAACCAATTTCAATTTTTATTTAAAGGCCCTGATTGTTGCTTCCAATTACCATGACATCCGTGAAATGGAGCTTCGAAGTCATTCTTTAAACTCCCTTAAAGATATTGTGTTTAAGAGATATAGCCAGGTGAGCCACTTCACAAGTAAACCCTAAGATAAGTCTTGCTTTTTGTTTCAGGCCTAGTTCTCACCCCTTAGAAGGGGGGAAAATTCACCTTTTCCAAGAGACCATCAAGTTAAAATAATATTGAACTACTGAGGTGGACAGCCTTTCTCCAAGGTAACATTGGGCGTGTGATCACTTGGTATCCCACCTGCTCTTCATTATTGTTATTCCTGATGGCTAAAAATTATAGGAGCAATTCAGGTTTAGGATTTTTTAGCATCATTCCCTGGGCTTCTTAGAGCCAGGAGTTGAAGGCTGTTAAAATGGGCACTTAGTCTGCTTGTCCATGTAAAACTTTATTTAAATAGAGAACTGTTCACAAATATCATAGGACAGACTTTTTTTTTTCCTCAAAATTAGGTCGGCTTTCTGACTTCTAGTCCTGGTCAAAAACAGGAGGAATACTCACTTTGAGAAGCAAAAAGAAATCTATAAAGTTCTTTTCAGCTACAGCTTCTAAAAGTGAACTTAAAATATATTTTTTTCTCTCCATTTAGAACTTCCAAACTTATTGTCCAAAACCTCTCCAAGAAAGGGCTGTAGAACCAGAAAATGGTAAGTATATTTGAAGTGTCATTGTTGCTGGCTTGTGCCATGAGATCTGTAAGAGGAAATTTACAAGTCTCACATTCCCACTCCATTATCCATTCCTTGTTCCATAACTGGCTGCACTGGGAGAGGTCAGCAATTCCCCATGACTGGCACTGGGCACAGGAAACCAAAAACACTCAGTGCCCAGTAGCTCACATTAGATTGTGATTTTCTCTTGGCAAGCACTGAAAATGTAATTATTTGATAACTACCTTATTCAAAAAAAAAAAAAAAAAGATGGTGATGAATTTGTGAAAGTTATTATCTTCAGCTTTTCCCTGGGGTGATCTGATCAGAAGAACAGCATTGCAGCAGCTGCCAAAGTTGCCTTTCTGTTTTCTCTTCCCTACTCATTTGCCCTGCAGTGGATTTAAGGATAATTAATGAAAACAGAAGTGAGAAAGAAAGAATACACAGACTGAACCAGGAAGCTTTTGGTGATGGTCCCCAACCAATACTCCAGTTTGCACAATACAAGGTAATAAAAGCAACCAATTTGGATTTTTTAATTATAATTTTCATGTAGCAGGTAGTTAAGCTAAATTTCAAATTGAAGAAATACTATGCTTTTTTAAACTTTAAGGAAGACACTTTAACATAAATTAGTTAAAGGTCTCTCTAACAAACAGATTTGCATTGAGATTTGGTCAGTCTTAGCTCACGTTTCAGCCTGGTGAACTCAGCATTTTGACTTGTTTTTGGAACAAAGGTAGACTTGGACCAGCAGTGTGTTGGAGCAGGAGCAGTGAGGGTTATCTGAAGCACATGCAAAGCTCATTCTCCATATAACACCATCATTAACTTGAGTTTTAGCTGGTGATCAGATATATTGACAATTTGAAGAGATACTTCATGTTTCACAGTGTTACTGAACAAGCTGCCTCTTGCCTTTCAGCAGAAAACTGCCACAGGGTGGCACCCTCTGATTTTATTACAACATTCCTCCAGCTGGAATTATGTTCATTACAAATGAGAAACAGTCTTAATTGCATATTACATGCAACTAAGAACATATAAATGAAATATATTCATTGCTTATACTCCCTGCTAAAATTTTGTGTTTAACAGCTTGAGACAATGTTTAAAAGTAGTCCTCAAATGGATGTTTTGGATAAAAGAGAACCATTCAGATGTCTGGTCAAGTTTTCTAGTCCACATCTTTTAGAATCACTGAAATCCTTGGCACCAGCAGGTAAGTGTCCCAACTCTATAAAATGGAGGGAAAATTCAGTTTGGCTTTTTGTGGTTGTGTTTTTGTTTTGTTTTGTTTTTAATTTAAATATCTTGCATAAGGGAGAAAAACCTCATGATTTGTTTGGAAACTGATAGAAGTGTAGTAGAACAAAAATGTTACCACTTTAAAAACTTAGATCTAAATACATAACAGTTCATTCTTAAAATGACTGGTTTGTCTATGGAGACTCAAGCTGTGGGTTTAGTTTTGTGGTTTAGTTTTGTAACACTTGTGAAAGGTAAATAATAGCTGAGTACAAGCTGTAATCATTTGTGTCTTTCTCTCCAGGTATGGCTGATGCACCACTTTCACCACTCCTTACATGTATACCACAAAAAGCTAGGAATTATTTTAGAGTAAGAGAGAAAAGGGGTTTATCTCCAGAAAGTTTGGTAAGCCCTTAACGGAGAACCGAGTCATAGAGAAAAATGCAATTTTTGTATTACCGGTATTAATCTCAATCATCATAAACTTTAAAACAGACCTTAAGAAAATAACTTATTCTTTGGTAATACCTTACATTTTTTTCCAAGTTATGGCTTCTTTGAATTATTCTCCCCACAGTTGCCTTTGACAGAAATGAGCCCTTCCCTTAACTAATAAAAAACTCAATCACAAAGTTTCAACAGAGAGATCGTGGTTATTGTAAATGTAAATGTAATGACTGCTCCTAACTGTATTTTTAACAGCATTTGTGAAGTTAAAGCTTAATGAAGATGCAATAACAGAGCTGTAGCTGCTCAGTTTGCTCTCAGAGCTGCAGGTGACTCCAATATTTTTGGTGGCCCTTCTTCTTGTGGCTCCAGTTGAGAATGTCCCATTCAGATGGGTGGGACTCCCTGCCTGCAGGTCAGGCAGCTTTTTATCCAAGCAGGGCAAGTTTGTATTCCAAGACCAATACAGGGCACAGGGAGGAAGGGACTCTTGGAATGTGGATGCCAGTAAATACTTAAGAAGGAAAAATCTATCTTTGCTATTAATGTCTTAGGAAACTTTGTCTTGGAGGAATACAATGAAACAGGCAATATTTTCTTTAGACTCATTTCAATTAATATTTGATCCTTCTGAAATCCTTGCATGTTGCCACTTTTTTGTGCTTGGGGACAAAGATTGCAGGATCAAGATGGCAACAGTCACTAAGGCAAACAGCCTTGCACTGGAGTTCCTTGGAGTTGGTAAACTTTGGGAATTGTATAGATAGTTGCTGCATTGGTTTTTTTGAGATGAAGTTGATCCCAAGATTCAGTTCTTGAGTCCAAGTGTTTCTCTTTAATTCTGTTACCTGGACAGTTTTGTGTGTACTTTGTGTAATGTGGAATTTCCAATTCACTTTGGATACCTCAGTGCTCAGAGGCAGCCTTATTTTGAGAGGTTGTATGGGCGTGTTTTTGTTTTCAAACTGTAAATAAACGTGTAAATTAAGTCTTCTCATAAAAGTTTGTTTGGCCTCACTTAAAAATATGACTTCTCACATACTGATGTTTGGTTTGGTTTTTTCTCTGTAACTCACTCTTTAAAAGAGCTTAGTTTAGGACTCTCTGCTTGTGATAGGGTTTTTTAGGAATTCCACCTGCGTGATTTAAATCTTAGTTTGACAAAGTACTTCATGTTAGGATTCTGAAAGATTTCCAGGGTTTGTGTGATAGACGTTAAGAGCTGGCCATTAATGTGTCTCTCTCACCCTCCCAGAGCCTTCCAGGATTCAAGTCCATTAAGACTCCAGTGTGCATTTCACTCTCTACAACTTGTTCTTCCTAATGCTCTCTCCCAAATAACTTAAATGCCTGAGATGACAATGATTTACCATAAAGGTTAAGTTCCCAAATGCTCCAAAACACTGTGAGTGCCTGGCCTACAGCCTGTGCTTGCCTCTTGTTTCTGGGAAAGGCAAGCTCCATCCCCTTTTTAACAACCAAAACATTGGTATCTCTGATTTTCAGAGATGTGTTTTATCTCTAACTTTCTGTAAGCAGGGATATTACAGGAACTAATGCAGCACTTCCAGGCAAGCAGATGAGTATTTATTAATTTTTCAGAAAACATGTCTGCAACTCCTGCGTTCCTTCTTGCTGAGCAGGTGTCCCTGTGGAGAAGGTAAGGCAAGGGGGGAATGTGGAGACCAAACTTGTCTTCCTCACTCCAGCTGGGTCTCTTCCAATAAGTTGGAAGTTTGGGGTTGGACTAGATGACCTCTGTTCTGGGATAATCCCAAGCAGCAGAACCACGTGCAGCTGTGGGGACAGGGGCTGTGGGATGGACGCACAGCCTGGGAGCTCTGTATGGCACAACCCTTCCCCAGTAAATGGTGCACATTTTAACTTTAATTTGTCCTTTAACTTGACAAATTACAGGGGGAAAACCACAGTGTTGTGTCATTGGTTCCAACATCAGTGAATCATAGAATAGTCTGGTTGGGGGGGGACCCACAAGGATCACATGCCCAAGAATCCCACCCTGTGCCTCAGAGCATTGTCCAAGCTCTCTTTGAGCTCTGTCAGCCGTGGGGCTGTGCCCACTGCCCTGGGGAGCCTGTTCAGTGCCCGACCACCCTCTGGGGGAAGAACCTTTACCTAATATCCACCTCAACCTTCCCTGACACACCTCCCGGCCCTTCCCTGGGATCCGAGTGCCAGAGGGGGGATCAGTGCCTGCCCCTCCGCTTCCCGGTGCACCCCAACACCCGCAGCCCCTCCGTGGTGCAGCGGGGATGCCCCAGCCGGGTGTGCGCGTGGGCAGTGCCGTTCCGAGGCCGGGCACGCGCGGTTTTCCCTGTGTTTCCCTGTGTTTGTCTCGCTGTGTTCCCGCTCGCCGTGTTCTCCCCTCAGGGCCCCCCCCTTGCCCGCAGCCGCCGCCGGGAGGCGCTGACGAGCTGGGGGCGGGGCCGCGCCACGTGCCTCATGAATATTCTGCATCGGCGGCGCTGATTGGCCGCGGGCCCCGGAAGGGGCGCGGGGGGCCGAGCGGTGACAGCAACATGGCGGCGGCGGCGGCCGGGCGGCGTGGCGGGGGCTTGGGGCGGCCCCCCGCGCCCGGGCGGGACGGGCCGCCCGCCGCCGAGCTGGTGCGGCCCTCGGTCACCGAGCTGTCCCAAGTGCGGACCAACATCCTGTGCACCGTGCCGGGCTGCGGGAAGGTGCTGCCCAACAGCCCGGCCCTCAACATGCACCTCTGCAAGGCGCACCCGCTGCAGGTACCGCCGGGAGGCCGCGCCGCCCCCGCCCGCTCGGCACCCGCGGGGCCGCCCCTCGGCCTGGCTGCGCGGCTCCCTCAGCGCCGGGGGCGGCCCCGCGGCCTGCGGCCGGCCCGGGGGTGGGTCCGGGGGGCGGCGGTGGCTGTGGCTGTGCCGGGGTTTGGTTCGCAGTGAGACTCGGGGGGGGAGAGATTCCCCACCCTGAGGAGAACTGGGATTGTTCAACCTGGAGAACAGGAGGGTTTGCGGTGACCTAATTGGGCCTTCCACTACCTGGAGGGAACTTGGAGGAAAGATGGGGCACGACTGTTTACAGGAGCATGGAGTGACAGGACAAGGGCAATGGGTTCAAACTGAGAGTAGGCTTTGATTAAATATCAGGAAAAAATCCTTCCCTGTGAGTGTGGTGAGGCACTGGCACAGGTTGCCCAGAGAAGCTGTGGCTGCCCCATCCCTGGAAGTGTCCAAGGCCAGGTTGGACAGGGCTTGGAGCAACCTGGGCTAGTGGAAGGTGTCCCTGCCCATGGCAGGGGGTGGAATGAGATGGTCTTTGAGATCCCTTCCAAACCAAACCATTCTGTGATTCCAAATGGGAATAACAAAGTGTTTCTCGTTGTCTCCCGTTTAAATCTCCCCCGTGGGAAAGGCCCCTGCAGGTGTCTGTGTGTGTGTGTGCACGGCCTGACCAGTCGTGTTGAGGATTCCTCTGAAATTACTTACAGAAAATAACGAATTTTAAGCATTTTTATAAACATATCACAGGCAGTTAAAAGTTCTTCAGGGCTCAGCTTCTGTTGTTTCACTTGCTTATCCCTTATCTTTCTGCACTAAGACTTTACAGCACCGTTTATGAGGTGCTGTGCAAACAGGCAGCATTTCCTACCCTTATCAGCTGGCAATCCACCTTCATCCCAGCGCCCAGGGCTCTTAGGTGGAGTTTTTGTTTGTTTTTTTAAAAATGTCTGAGCCAAAAAAAAAAAAAAAACCACCAAAACAACACAGATGGATGCCATTTTGGAAAGAAGCCCTCATTTCCATAATACTCCTGAGAAAACACAGCATGTGCTCGTGGGGGAGGAGAGCCACAGCTCAGCAGGCACAGATTCCAGAAGGATATCCTTGCTCTTCCCAAAATCACAGTGTCAAGCCTGCCAGGACAGATCCTGCTGCTGGAAATCTTTGACTGTGGCATTGGTGGCTGCATCCTGAAAGTGCAGCCTGGGCAGGGAACAATGAACAGCCTGGTGGTGTGAGATGAGGAGTGGCAGGGCCAAGGGAGGGCTCCTGGTGCTGGTGGGTGATGAAGCAGAGGAAGCAGCACTTGCTGGCTGCTATCTGTGAGATGTTTTCATTTCTGAAACGTTTGCTGCCATGCACTGACAGCTTTCGGTGTGGGTTATGTGTCGGTGTCAGGGGAGGTGCAGCAGGAGTTGAAAGTGTTCTCTGAGGTCAGCAGGGGCATTTTGGTGGTGAGCTGATGCTCTGGCAGTGCAGTGCAGCTGGTGGGTTACATAACCCAGGGGATGACGGGTGAGGAGACGCTGCTTTCTCACCCAGCCTCTGTTCCCCAGCTCCTGTGCCCTGTGGAATCACAGCCTGCTTCATACACCTCATTACTGGATCTTGGGGCAGCTTGGAATAAATACTGAAACATGGATGCAGATTCTCAAGAACTTCTTGATTTGTTCCAAGAGCATCGTAATTCAGAGTAAAAATGTTGTTGAGGCTAAATATTTTAGTATTGGTATTTCCTTTCAAGAGAGAACTGATTCCCCAGACAAAAAAGAATTTAGTGGATTGCATTTGTTAGTGACACATGAAATTAGTGAGGAGGCAACTTGGCAAAGGAGAGGCTAAGAAGCTCTTGGGGAAGGAGAGGAGGTGGTACTGCTGAGGAGAAGGCAGGCTGGCTTAGTTAGTTTTCATGGATAAAAGCAGCACCAGTAGGATTTTTTTGACACCAAAAACCACGAGGGGTTGCCATGGCAGAGGAAGGACATTTATGTAGGAGGGTAAGATTACCCTGTAAGAACAGAGTCAAGTGCAGCAGTACAAGATTATAGTCTTGGGAGGTGATAACAAAGAATTTGAATGGTCCTGGTTTGTAACAGAAATAACTTTCGATGGGGAAAAGTTTCAAAAGCAATTTGGTCATACAGGGATGAGCTTTTGGGGTAGTGCTGCTGTGAGAGGGGCAGTCCCAAAACACGTCAGAGGGATGTTCTCTGTCAGTGCTGGAGAGTAAATATCTGATTTAAATAAGTTAAAATGAAGCCAGAAAAGGTGTAGAAAAGAATTGCTCAGGCTGATGAATGGCACAAGTGTGTCTGACAAAGGGGAAATAGGAGAATTTGGCTTGCTCGGCCTAACAAAAGAAGATATGATGAAGTGTTGATATCTAAGTTTCTATTTTCTGGTTTTGTGACTTAATTAAGCCAATTAAAAAAAATAAATGAGAGCACTGGGTATAAAATGATGCACTATATTAGACTTGACTTTTTCATTTTAATTTGTTGGTCTTTTGTCTGTATTATTTTATGGGGAGAAGGGGAAGACTTCTGTGTAGTTTAAATGAAGCTAGAAGAGTTGATGTAAAGGTGAGGATTCTGTGGATTCTTGGGATAGCAGGAAGGTTGGAGTCAGTGGTGAACTGAGAAGAGAATGTCTGAAATATGACTGACCAGGTGGGGGTTGAGAAGGTGCAAGATTAATCATCAGTCCAGGAGGATTTGGGAGAGGTCAAAACAAGATTACTGTCCATATAGGGTTTCTTATAAATGTAGAGCATCTCTCAACTTGCCACCACAAATTTGTTGTGGTCTGTGCCACTGAAGTGTGTTCCAGCTGTTAAAAAAAGCACCTCACTGATGTTTATAAAGCTTTTAAACACTTATTATTCTGTGATTTGATATTTCAGGAGTTTTAAATAACCTGACTGTGGTTGAGCTGTTAAGTGCCTGAACATGTTTGCCATACTGCCCTGTCGTTTGTTGGGTTGTGACATTAAATGTAACACAATGAATAACTTTTTACTTAGGAATAAGTAACTCCAGTTGCCACTTGGTGTATTGATTTCATCTGCAGTGGGAGAGGCCAAACATAGCTTTGACTTAAAGGCAAATGGTTTTTTTCTCCTGAAGACTTCAAGCCTGACATGGAATCAAAGTGTTTCTGGGTAAACTCAGGGTTAAAAAGTGTAATTGGGGCTGGAACAACGAGATTTGTTTGAGTCATGATCCTGTTTTGGGCAGTGGCTGTGGGAGGCACAACAACAATCACAGTGATGATTCAGCAGAGATAAAACAGGCCTGGTTATGAATGGGCTGTCCGTGGGGAAAACTGCTGTGCATAAAGATGCTTAGAAGGTTAAAATGTTACAGGAAAACTCCCTTTTTAGAGCCTTATTCCACGTTTTCTTGATGAAATGGCAGCTGATTATTTTGGTGGAGAGGCTCTCTAATCATTGCTTCCATGAGTATGGGCTGGCACTACCAACAATGAACATGCAGCAGTGGCAGCAATAGCAGTGTTGGGAGTGTGGAGACACAACTGAAATATTCCTTGAAGGGATTACATTTTACACTGAGTAAACAGAGGGATTTAGGGGAAAACCAAATAATCATTGAAATATCCCCCTCCTCAGCTTTCGGAATGTGAATGAAGTGACTCAGAACAGCGTGGTTGGGTTTGGACTGATCTTTTAAATTGATCTTTTTAATTTTGTGCTTAGACACACAGATACCTGGTGCTTCCACTGAGACCCTTTCAGATAGGGTGTGTCTAGAGGTTCACACCTTGTCTGCTTTCCACAGCTGTGACCTCAGTGGCAAGAGGTTCTGGACATTAATATGTCCTTTTTATATGTATTTTTGAGGTCCTCTGAGCAAGTTATGTTGCTTTCTTCTGTTGTGTGCATGTGAGGATCAGTGAGACAGATCACATGGAAACCCCAGGTGGAGCGGTCCCTTAGTGTTTGGAGGTTCAGAATTTGCATACCAGTTGTTTCACAGGTGTTAGTGACATTTGGTTTATGATGTAAATTAAATGGCATTTTGGCATTTTAATTTAATGCCAAACATACTTGGCATTTTGCATTTTATTTTCATTTTGTTACTGTGAGTAGTGGCAACAGAATTCCAACATCACAGAAGTGTTGTGTTACACAGTGGAGCTTCAACTACTGTGCTACTAACAAGTAACACCAGTCTAGTGTAGTATCTGTATGGAAAACTTTTTGGGGATCAAAAAAATACAAAATGTGGGTTTCATTGGCTTGGAGCAGTGAGTGTGTCTTGGTAAAAGTGAGCACTACAGAACCACCACTCCTTAGAGCTTGTTGTAATTGCACTTGGTACTTTGGGTGGGATATTTGCAGAGTGGCAACCACAGGGGAAAAGCTGCATGTGAACTTTCAAACAGCTTGGGAAAGTGCCTTCAGCTCCCTGAGGTGTGTGAACTCAGCCACAGCTGATGTGTGTTCTGAATATTGTCTGTAAAATCCAAACCCCTAGAATCGTCAACTTCTCACCTGCTTCTTTTTCAGGATGGAAAACTTAATGCACCAATAAGGAAGGGTTTGAAAACGTCACAGAAATTCTACTGCTGTCCTATTGAAGGCTGCCCTAGAGGACCAAACAGACCATTTTCCCAGTTTTCTCTTGTCAAACAGGTATTCCTGTTTCCTGAACTATTTTCACACTGGTTTAGTCCTGACTGTCTCTACTCTGCTTTTGCACTCAGATATCATCAGAGCCTCTCAGCATCTCTGCAGAAGTTAGAGAACTCCTAATGTTCATATGGTTAATGGATTTGCATGTTTGCATGTTGGTATTAGAGGAGTTGAGCCTTTTGATCAGGCAGCTGCCAGTATGTTCTGCTGAACTGGAAGACAACCCCTGCCCCCAAATTAAAATAGATGGAGAAAGATCAAAAAGGGGGGGAGGAATCACAGTAGCAACCAATAAAGGTTTCAAATGTGGCTGATGCTTTTAACTGCTTTTTCAAGTGGTCACAAACGAAGAGTTTCTTTCTGCTTTATTATCAAAATGCATTTGTTTATTGGTTACCTGTTTCAGGAAATGTGTAAGGTTTGTTTTCTGAGTGAGTGAGCAAAAAGAGCTGGTGCTGCTGATACCAGAGATGAGCTGAGGAGACTGGAGGGTTTGAGTGGCTGTGCTCTGCTGCAAGATTGATCTACAGATTTATTAATCTATTTCCACAGGAAGCTTTCAGTGGATTTAAGAGGGTTAAATATTTATAAGTTTAAGATACATCTAGGACAAGCAGATGAGCCAACTTTTAATTCTTTCTGTAGTTTTCTTTAAACTTGTAACTTATTAATAGTAAGACTTTAAAGAAGATTGCTACTCTTCAGTGTTGCTGAACAACTAAAAAATTACAACTGAACGTGATTTTCTTTTTTTTTTAATCTTCCCTGCACCTGATGTTTGCTTTCCCTTGTGTGTTCTAGCACTTTATGAAAATGCACGCCGAGAAGAAGCACAAATGTGACAAATGCAGTAACTCCTACGGTACAGAGTGGTATTTGAAACGCCACATCGAGGTCTGTGGCAAGACTTTCCAGTGTACCTGTGGGTGCCCCTATGCCAGCAGAACAGCGCTGCTGTCTCACATTTACAGAACTGGCCACGAAATCCCTGCAGAGCACAGGTAACAGTGAAGCAGTTCTGTCACGGTCACGTTCCTCACCATGTCCTGCGTCTCCCACGTCCTGCCTTTTTGTCTCCTTCCCCTTGGTCCCATGGAAAATGGCTCACAGTGTGTTCAGCTGGGGAGCAGTTTGCAGTTTGTTCTGCTGCTTTTAGGAGTGGGTGCTTTGCTGAAGGCAGTGGTGATCTGTGCAATCAGTAAGATCAGGTTTCCCTGTGTATCAGACAAAAAGCACTGATGACACTGCACTGCCTGGCGTGAGTGCTGATGGCACTTGTTGCATCTGCTTTTGCAGTTCCTTGGGAGTAGAGATGATTTGTAAGTGTTTCTATGGTAAACAAGGGGTGGAATGCAATTCAGGTTGTTTTCTTTTATAGTTTAGTTGTCTTTGCAATTATTAGTGGATTCCTTTTTTTACCACCTCTCTTTGTATGTTTAGTTTCACAGTTGTTTTAACATGTGTATATATTTCATAAAGGGCACTCTGCTTTCTGAGGCCTGGACTGTCTTTCTTGGAGGTTCAGCTGCTGCAAAATTAAGTTTTGTGTGAAGGAGTGCTAATTGTATGTGCAGTTTCCAGACCTTTACCTGTACACTGATTTTAAGAGCCCTGTCCCTTCAATGCTCAGTCTGAGTTATCATCAAAGTAACACATTAAATCTTCAACTCAGAGTGCTTAATGTGCAAGAGGCAAGAAACCATCTAAACCCTCCACCTCCATTTAGAAATAGGTCTCCTTTTTTCTTTTCTTTAAATGAGTGAGGGATGACATTTAACAAAACTGAACTTCATGGTTGTCTTCTCATATCCACCCTCATCTGTGACTTGAGGTTGTATTTTCAGTGCAGTGACGCAAAAGAATGGAAGGCAGATGTTCTGTGCTTGAAAGAAGTATAAATAATTGATCTCCTGTTCACAGGGACCCTCCCAGTAAGAAAAGGAAAATGGAAACCTCTGCTCATAATCAGCAGCTGGCAGAGAAAGCAAACGAGGCGTTCCTCAGTACTCACAGTGCTGCTCCTGGCGCTCAGGAACTGGAGTCCTCTGAAGTGAAAGCAGTGGCCTCTCTTGAAGGCTCCCACAGCTCCAGCTTCACAAACCAAATGCAGCCCAAGTGCACCCCGAAGATGCTTTTGCCCAAGCCCAAGGTGGCTTTGGTTAAAGTGCCCGTGATGCAGGTTGCTCACCTGCCTGTTTATGTGTCTGCAACGGACCCTTCTGTCAAACCTGCTGTGGTGGCTGTGGATAATCGAGGTTCAGTTGTAAGTACTGTTCACCTGTTGCCTCAGTCTATAGGAATTCTGATTCCAGCCCTGGAGGCAGAAACCCTGGTGTTCAAAGACAGTATGCCTGTTTCCAAAGTGACAGGTGCTGGTGGTCGGGAGCCGGTGAGTACTGGTGTGCAGGTGGAGCTGGACAAGGTTCCATCCAGTAACACAGGGCAAGAGATGGGCAACGTTTGTCACAAGAACAAAATTTCTTCCATAAATATACAGACTGACTTATCTTATATTTCCCAGAACTTTGTCCCAGCTGCAGCCTGGACTCCCAACTCTTGTGTGTCCTCTTGCTCTCAGACAGATCTGTCCTTCAGTTCCCAGGTTTCCTTGCCCATCAGTGTGCAGACACAGACACTGCTGCCTGCTTCCAAACTGACTTCATCCATAGCTGCTCAGACTGATGCTTTCAGTCAGGGGTGCTTCCCAACGTGTGGCATTTCCAGAGAGACTCAAACCAGTAGGTCACAGGACTGTATTGATGGAAGAGTTCAGATGGACCAGGCTGTCACGTGCAGTGACATCTTTGACAATGTTCCTCCGTCATACAATGTTTCTACTCACATTGAACTTCCAGAAAACAATTTAATGCCTGCAAATATAGATCAAACCTTGCTGCAAAGAACTAATTGCAAGAGCCTGAATCAGGACACGGTGAAGTCCGAATCCCTGATCGGCTTCAATTCACAGACTAATATACTTCCACCTCAAAATACAACAGATAATCAAACCCAAACCATGGACCTGCTAAGTGATCTGGAAAACATCTTTTCAGGAAACATGTCTGGCCAGACACTGGATAATCGTGGCCTTTTGTCCGAGACAAGTTCTAATGCTGACACACATCTGCCATCTGCTCCCTCCCAGAGCACGGGCATAGACTTCGACATTGAAGAGTTCTTTTCAGCATCCAATATCCAAACTCAGACTGAAGAGAGTGAGCTTGGTACCCTGAACTCTGAGCCGGTTTTGGAGTCACTGGACATTGAAACTCAGACTGATTTCTTGTTCTCAGATAGTGCCACTCAATCCTACAACTGCCGAGGCAGTTCTAACTTCCTAGGTTTGGAGATGTTTGACACGCAGACCCAGACAGACCTGAATTTCTTTTTGGACAGCACTACCCACCTGCCTTTAGGAAGCATTCTGAAGCAGTCCAGTTTCTCCATGAGCACTGACTCATCTGATACAGAGACCCAGACAGAAGTGTATATGATGGCTACTAAAACCACACCTGCTCAGAACATGGAAAGCAAAGTCCAGCTCAGCAGTGCTGAGACACAGACTATGGACAGCTGCTTCGAGAACCTGGGCAGTTTGTTCCTCACCAGCAATGAGACACAGACAGCAATGGATGATTTCCTGCTGGCTGACTTAGCCTGGAACACCATGGAGTCCCAGTTCAGCTCCGTGGAGACCCAGACCTGTGAAGAGCTGTGCTCCTTGTTCCAGAGCTCTGACAAGCCCAGCCACTGAGTGCTACGTGATGGTTTGAATTTAAGTTATTGGGGTGGGAGAGAATGGCTTTACCAAGTGATCCACTTTGCATTATTGAATGTAGTTGTCACGAGCAGTTGACCTAAGAGACTTTTCATGCTGAAGGTACTCATTGAATATGTAACTTTACATAAACTATGTGTGTATAAATGGGGGGGGAGGGGAGGGAGGGGGCTGTAACATGTCGATGTACATTTGAACCTTAAAAATTATGTGGTGCCTATGTTTTCTCCTCAAACTTCTTTACAAAGCTGTTACTGCTTTCATTTAAATGGAAGAACTTTTTCAAGTTGTTCTCTCTATCTCCCTCTCTCTCTATTCCTGGCTTACATGCAGGGTTCCCATGTGCTGGACCAAAACCCTGACCTGTTCAGTTGAGATGCTTCCCTGAACTTACGGGGGAGGATTCTATTTTTAGTGTAAGCTACTTCTGTTTACTTTTTTTAGGAGCTTGTGTTTTAAATCCGGTGTGAACATAGTAAGCCGTATTGTCTTCTTTTACTTTCTGCCTCCACAGCTCTTTCTCCTGCATAAGCTGGCACTTCCCAAATACCTGTCCTACACATTAGACACAGAGAGATTCTCGAATCTTTGAACATATTTATTATTTAAAATATCTAGAAAGCAGTACTTTTTTTTTTTTGTCTTTTTTTCTCTCCCTGAGTGGCACTGATGCCCTTTGAAGGGTAGGAAAAGAACTTGGAGTTCGTAGTTCTAGGGAAAATAATTAGTCTGTTGTCCTTTTAGCTGAGGTAATAAATGGGACTAACTTTTTTTTAGAGTCTCCAGGGGAGGATTTGCTTAAATTATTTCTGTCTGTAAGATACAAATGTTACAATGTGTGTGCCTCAGAGACTGGAATCATTTGTTTTCGCTGAAGTTCTCTTAGCTTTACTGAGATACAAGTTGAGAAATGTTACAGTGGTTTATACCTCTTATTACCTTCACAGAAATCTTTAAAAATGGGAAATTAAATTCCTTAAAACACCCACTCACCTCGACTCCTGTTTTTGGACTTCCTGCTTCCAAAAACAATTGGAATCCACACGGCAGAGCTGGGAAATCAGCTCACGGAAGCCCTTTCAGAACAGCTCTATCTTGCTTTTTGCACGTTGATTTGCAGCCCTCAGTTCCTGCAGCTTGTAGAGTGTAGCCAAATTCACACAACCTGATTTGTCAGAGAAACATAAAAACCTCTCGGAATCCTTTTTTTAATGTTTATGTTGCCCCTCATGCCACTGTTTGCGGTGTTTTCCGTTCGTGTGAGAATGCATAACTCGTGAATGTATGTTGGAACTTGGCCTTAAGTAGTTTTTATTACAATATCTGTGAAATGTAGGCCTCAGGTTTTGTCCTGGACAGGTTTTAGCTTCTGTAACCTTAAAGGAAAGAGAAACCTCTTCGTGTCAAATCCCTGGGCCTGTAACAGAGTTTACTCCTCCGCTGTCAGGGGAGAAATGCTGGCTGTGTTTTTGCTGTGCAGCCCATCAGCAGATGGATGTCCAAGCCTTAGGTTCTGAGGACTCACAATGCTTTGTGCTGCACATTCTCAACTCGAGGATGTGGGAGTTGAGTTACTCATCCATTGCAGGCAGCTTGTTTTGGTTGAAAATGAGCAATACCTTTCTTCTTTCCTATTTTTTGTCTCTTCCTAACATGCTTTAAATTGCCATAGTTAACATGCTAATATGGTGAGCATTTCTACCCTTACTGGAAATCATTTCTTTAGATTAACCCTGAAACTCACATTTTTCCTCCTGAAATCCCAGCTGTGTTGCCTGTTTAATTTTTCAGCATTTCTAGGTACGAGTTCAGGCACTTCCAGGCTTTGGCTGGAGGAACTGGAGAAAGGAATCTTGCAGTTCCCCAGGAGCACAGTAATTCTGCTGGGGGAAAAGTCCCCCCCAGGTTTCCCTGAGTTCTGAGCTGAAAGGTGGGATATATTAAAAAAAAGGAAGGGATCACTTGTAATTTTGTTTGTTCTGAAGGTATGACTGTTTTATATTTACCTGCCTACTCTGAAATTGGGAAATAAGATAACAAAATTAGGTTAATTTATTTTGTGGGTTTTTTCTGTTGCATCTCTACATTTCAAAGTGGTTTTCCTACTCCTTTCTTCCCCTGGATGGAATACCAGAGAACACTTCTTTCTATGTTTCCCACAGAAATGGAGGAAAGAGAAGGAGTTACTATGAATCTGATTGGGGAAAAGGGTATTTTCCTCAACTGGCAAGAATGAGGAACTTCTTTAGCTCTGGATTTAGAAAATCAGTCTTCTTTTCTGCAAGAGAAGGAATCTGAGGTGCTGAAGAGCAGAACTGCAGAGAGGTTTGAGTTGTAGCCATCTGAGAGACCAGCTGGCATTTAAAGTACTTTGAAACTAATTTACAAATTAGAGTGATAATTGCCATGTTCTTATGGTGAAAGCCATAGTTCATAATTCTTAACATTGGGGACCTCCAGAAAAAAAAATACAGGTTTATGTGGACAACTTTACAATGTAATCATTACCCAATTATTGTACTTTGTAATTCTTTATAAGTATTTATGAGCTTTGTGTGTTTTACTAGAACATGCACATCAGAATGGTGTCACTCATCCTATGGGTTTAAAATAATTTGAACTTTAAATTGGTGAACACAGTGCTACAACATGAAACCATTTACTGAAACTGCAGTACTAAGAAGTAATTAAATCTGTCTGCACTATCTTAGGGAAGTGGCTCATTCTGACCAAAATTAACGTTTTTCTTCGCAGATTTGGTTCTCCATAAGTTATTCATAGCAGTCAGAAACAGGTCTGGATCCTGTGTTGCTGGCCTAAGTCACTCAGTTTGGGTTTATGAAGTATTTTTGTGAAAATGTGGAGACTGCCACCAGACTTCACAGTTTGGTGACTCCCACGGTAAACGCCGTGAAACCTGATCTGAAATGCTGAATATTGTGATTTCCTCCCATCTGAACAAGTTCTTGGAAAGGGCCGATTTTCTATTTTCACCATTATTGTTAAAAATAAACTTCAGTCAGAAGTGTTTCTTGGTAGAGCTAAAATGATATTTATCTCCCTTCCTCTGCAGTTTGTCTCTGATTTGGTTTTCGAGGCACTGTCTCTGTTGTAAGGATTGCTCAGCAGTGACTCCTTTACTTACTCTCTTCTGTATCCTCTGCTGCCCTTAGAGCTGCTCTTCAGAAAGCAACATCAGATTCTCCACAGCCTTTTTAGCACAATTGTGTATCTGGAAGGGATGCAAATGTTCCTTGTGCTTGCTCTGTGCATTTCCTGCTCAATCCCATTGGGATTGCTGCATCTTGACCTGGGTGCCTGTGTAACACTGTTCTAAAACTGAATATTTGTTTGTCACAATGCTAAAAGTTTGGATGACAGGAGATGTTTCTTCTGCTTGTGGCTTTATTTCCATCTGTTTCTGCTAATACACTTATAAATACTTTCTGCTGGGGGTAGGGAGGGAGTCCCCACCCCCAACTCTTTGTGTTGGCCTAGAAAAATTGGTAGTTTCAAGTCAGAGTTTGCTAATGCTACCCATTCTTAGCTATGCAAAGCTGCTTGTTTCTAGAAATTGTTAACTTCCAAAGGGTATGACAGCATTTAAAAAAATGTATATATACCTGCAGCTGGAAATTAAACAGCTGGAAAACAAGCCTTGTGAGACCTCGTCTAGTTCTGAACAATCCAGCCAGTGTCTGTAACTTAATGTAAGTAACTGCTTACAGATTTTTATTCCAAGGCTCAAACACAGCCATTTTTTTTCTGTTGACAACAAGAGGCTGAATTTCCCTGTTTGTCACACGGACCTTGATTGTGTGTGAGGGGCAAGAGAACAAAGAATGCCTTCCCCTGTGCTCAGTCCTTCTGCTGCTGGCACCTGCTCATGGCTGATTGATTTTCCTGAGAGGTTGGGTAGAAATGTGAGTGTTGGCAGGATTGGGATCTTAAAGGGTTAGGAGATTTTATTTATTTATTTTTTCAGTATCCTTTCAGATGTAGGGTAAGTCAATAGAACTGATACTGAATCAACAGAGGGTGCTCAACTTGCAAAAGAAACATGTTCCTGAAATGACAGCTTTGGTGAACCAAATGTACTTGCCTTTGTTGTTAAGGTTGTACAGCTTCCTTTGCTTTAATACATTTCTGACTTGTGCTGGTTTTTTAAACATGATCTTAATGTACAATTCACTGCTCCAAATACATTCACACCAAAACGTTGGTAACATTCTGGGCCTTGCAAGCTTTTCTCATTCCTTTTTTTGGTTTAAGGTGCTGCTATGATGTGTCCTGGTAGAACTGGGCCTCCTGTGAACACTAGGAGGATGTTGAGTGGTAGCAATCTGCAGTGCAAGGTGCAAACGTGCATCCTCCGTTTGTTTTGTTGGGTTTTTTTTAAGAGCTGGTGTGGTTTTTTTCAGTGTGTGCTGGAAGGACTTGGCTGCTTTAGGACATGCCTGAATTCTCCTGTTTAAAATGCCATTGCTGTGCAATGACCAGAAGCCAGGGAGGTGAATGAGTGAGGGAATGGTTGTGTCTGTGTGAGTGGCTCTTCCCCTCGAGCGCGGACGGCAGCGAACGGCCCGGATCGCCGGGAGCTCCTGAAGGAACTGCCGAGCTAAATAACAGAAATCCCTGTATTTGGGATCCTTTCTCACATGCTGGCTTTACAGAACCTTCAGCCAGATAACAGATGACTTGTGCTGATGCAAACTGTGCATTTCACAACAGCCAGTGCCTTACAGGCCTGGCTCCAGCACCTGCATGCAGAGCTACAGCGGCAGCACTTCCATCTGCAGGTACTTGCAAGTGCATCTGTGACAAAGCTAGATATGAAAGCCATATTTCTACAGCTTAAAGAATTCAGCAGCTGATTAGGATCTTGCTGAAACTTGGGATTGTTTTGAATGGATGAGTAATAAACCTCATGGGTGAGTCCTTCCCCAAGCATGTGTGAGCTGATCTCAGCAAGGCTGAGAAATGTCCTTAAAATATTTTTCTTTTCATCACCAGTGGGATTTTTTTATTTAGTGGACAAATTTAGTTTCCAAAGGATGTTCACGTGTAATTCTTGCTGTTTAAGCCAGTAAACTTGCAATGAGCAAAGTCAAGCATTCATTTCTTAGACCTATTTTACAAGTGACAATCCCAAAGAAGGAATGTTGTCCTAGTAACTGTGAAACTTTTAAGTATGTTATTGCATGCAGAGAAAACCTTGTGCCAAAATACTGTTTCATATTTCCCTCTGTTGGAAACTGAAGTGTTACACAAAGCTACGAGTAAGTTATTCACAGGTATTGAAACGTTTTGTTCACAAATGAAGCACTTATTTAGTCCTGTAAATTATACATATTTTGGAATAAAGTTAACTTCAATCAGTTTTTGCCTTCTGTTTTAATGGCCATGGTCTCCTGCCTGCAGAGGCCTGGGGGGATTCAGTGCCTGTTGGCAAGTAGCACCCATTGCTCCTTGACATCTTTTGAATTGGTAGAGGTTTTGTAAATTAAAGCTATTACAACGTCAGTCCTTGATCTCTAGAGGTGGCAAAAAGGTTCTCCCATCTCAAACCTCATTTTGCATGTGCAAAATGCAATCTTTAATTGCCTTGTGTGTGCAGTGGAATGAAAACCTCTGCAGTTTTAGCTCTCTGCCAGGTGCCTCACCTCTACAACACTCTCAGGACAGGATTCCTTTGCCTTACTGTCCCCCCCTCCTGCAGTTTTTAAGATCTCCATTGTCATAACATCAACTAGAAACTCAGCTGCATTGACATGATTAGTTTTCAAAGTATCCTATAAAATTACAGTCCTCTCTAATGGCTTATGTTATTTTGAAACATGTTTTATGTAACAGAATATTGTTTGGTTTGAATATGGGTGATACTTTGTCCCTTTTCTTCCTGTACAGTTCCCATGCTTAGCAATGATCCCACCATTTTCTGTTAGCTGCAGGATATAAAATGCTGATTTCTCTTGTTCCCTGCAAACCTTGTGGATGTGAGTCAGAGGAGGTGAATGAGCAGTAGCTCACTGAGTGGAAGTTCATCTGCACTGTTCCATCAGCTGTAGCCATGAGTGAAGCATTCCCAGATGGATAGCAGCAGGCTGTGTTCAGTCCTGTCGTGCCCCAAGGTAAGCATTTACACACAGCAGCATTCAGGTGTTTGCACATAAATATCTAGAAACTAAATTCCTATTCAGAGCATTTAAAATTATGGAACAGTCAGATGTGTGAGATCCTTTTAGGACTAACAGCCGTATTCCCCTCCCAGGGATGCTTCTGCTGTAGTTTGTGTTTATGAACTATTTTCTTGCCTGCTGCTGCTGAGAATTATTTATTCTGCTGGCAGTGAGAGTGTCCCTGCCTGGTTTGGGTTTAGTTCCTGGATTTCCTTCACTTGGAGAAATTGCCTGCTGGCAAGGTGATTGTTTCCTCTCACAACAATGGAATTAGAGGCACATTTTCCTTCTGGCTCCAGGATTTGACAGCGAGTCCTCTGGATTTAGTCCTTTTAAAGTTTGGACCTTAAAACAATAGGAGAAAAATGTTGATTTAATTTTCAGGTGTTGCACCATTGTATTTTTAATTGTTGTCAACAGTTCACTTGTTGTGTTTTGGCACCTTGGATGCAGGAAGCACTTCTGGCTGGTCCAGCCCTTAGCTTTGTTTCCTTTCCTTGAACGGGAATGGTGTTTTTCCTGAGAGGACTCACACAAAAACAAGAAGCTGCTGTTTCCTGTGCTAGAAAAACCCAGTGTGTTCAAGGGCACACCACTTGATTAAGATGATTGAAGTGTTGTGGGTTTGTTTCTTTATGTTCTTAGGTTTTTACTCAGTAGCTTTTCTGGCCTTTTGCCACAGGTCCTGTAGCAATAATCTCTGAGGGTGGTTCATAGGAATGTTGTCTTCCATCAGGTCGTAGTAAAACCTCTGTCTAATCTGTCTGATTTGACACTGAAAAACTACATTGATGCACATATTTATTGGCAAAAAAATCTAAAAAGATGTTGAATTCCTGCATCTGTTTTAAAGTGGAAGCCATGTGCCATCAGGAGCTTTGCACAGGTGTGATCTTCCCCTATCCCAAGTTTTTATCAAAGCATCACAAGAAGGGAAGAGTCATTTGCAGTGAATTCAGAATGCTGAGCTGAACTGCAGTTACCTGTGTGTGTCTGTGGAAAGTGCTGGTTTATTTTGTGTTTTGTTTAACACGAAAGCAAAAGAGAACTTGATCTGAAAGTCCCTTATTTGGTATGAGATGAAATGAGAATAAGTGGCCACCAGAATGCACAGAATACATATTAAACAGAAGCAAGCAAAGAACACATTAACAGGATTTAAAGAATGAATCTACTTGGAATGAGTAAGAAAAACTGATCGTGGCAGTGCCACCACTGCCTGATTTGCAGGTCATTTCCATTTCTTTTGGGTGATAAATGAGCAAGGAATGCATGCAAATGTTTATCTGAGGCTCAGTAGGATTTAGCAGTGTTAAAGTTTATAATGTCATTAAATGCCTTGCAGAGTAGGCATGGATTTAAGAATATTCCTAAAGTTAGGCACTGCTCCAGTGCTCAGCAGCATCAAACACCTGATTACTGTGCTAGGCCAGCCATGGTGTCCTTCAGAGGGAATCTGAAGGAAGAGGTTGCACTTCATCCCCAGAACAAGCTATTTAAAGCTCTAATGAATCTATCTTATGGTCAGGAAGAAGCTAAACCTACATGTAAGTAGTTGGCATTCATCAGCTTATAATCCTATTAATAGCATCTGCAAAACTACAGATATCCCCCATGCCCACAAGGAAATTTTATTGGTGTTCTCACGGTCTAACAAGCTTTAAACCAGCATGAAATTAAATATAGAAATGTTAGGTCAGTGTAGACAGCACTGCAGCTCCCCAGCATGGCTGACTGGGAAGGGAGGGAGCCCAGGGAGCAGTGGAACCTCCCACATTTTTGATTCATTCCTGACCTTATCAGTGAAAAGGTCCTGGATATCACCATGTTTTTACCTTGGTTTTTGATTTATATGTAGAATCTGCACCCAGGCATGAGGACTGTTCTTTATAAAAGCAATCAGAAACAGCTGCACTGCTTTAATCTGATGGGGGGGCACGGTGCCAGTGGGACTGCTCAGGACCTTCCTGCAGGAGAGAGCCCTTGGTGTGGCCTGAGAGAAACGGTGGCTCAGGAATTTCTGTTTTGTGTCCCTTCACCATTCCCAATGCCAGCTCCTTCTTCACTCTTCTGCTCTGCTGCTCCAGCACTGAGTGCAGGAAGCAATCTCAGCTGAAGTACCACTGAGCATCTTCTGAGAGAGAAGAGCTTTTGTGTTCCTCCAAGGAGGGTTTGAAGTGTCCTTGGGAGTGGCACCTTCCACAGGTGGGAGCACTTCCTGAAGACTTGAAGTCTCAGGGTGGTTTGGACCAAACAGATCAAGCACATTCATTTCTTTCTGCCTTACAGCTGCTGGATTTTGCACATCTGGAAGATTCCACATGCAGTGTTTTTATCGGTGCATTCCCTGTTTCACCCTGGAAGGTTTGAACAGTGCAGGTTGTTGCGTAGCTCCATGTTAGTGCCATGTGTTGTGGGATAACATTTAGACTTCCCAGGCTGGGTTGAAATCTCTCCCTGGTCTGGAGCTGTGTCAGCTCTGCCACCTACACTTTCCTTGCCATCGGGTTTTGATTGATTTCCTGTGTTCTTGGCTCCTTGACCCGTGTGGTTGCCGGGAGATTGCAACGTGTCTGAGCCAACCCGGCCCTCGTTGGGAGCTCCATTTGCCTGGCACTGCTCAGCCTTGTTTTTGCAGCTGGAAGCTGGCAGGTGGATCAGGTCTATCCCGAGGTAATCAGGTTAATCTGACCTCTGGTGTGGTCACTTGTGGGCACTGTTCCTGCCCTCCACACCTTCTCTTCACCAGGGGTGCAAAAGTGATGGGGGAAACATCCCCAAACCTGAAGGATTTCTGGGAGGAATCTAAATAATCACAGGGAATCACTGCCTGACCAATAGGGCTTAACAGTGAAAAAATATTAAAATCAAATATGCAACAAGCATATTTTTATGTCTAAAATAATTAACTGGGACTACTGAGACCATTTGCAGTTGATAGAAAGCCCTATGGTTATTTTATAACAGGGCATGAAGACTGAGCCACAAGGACTCTTACCAGAAGATGGGATCTGGGGACATCCTGAAGTGCATTTATTCGATTATTTGCATGAAAAGCTGTGTCAGAAGTTCTAGGACTGGAAGAGTATGTATCTCTTTGGGTGTTTTTCTTTTCCACTGTGTTAATTGTTGTTTGGTGGTTGTTTTTTTTTAGCTTATGCTCTTCAGAAGTCACTTAAGAGTCAACAGAGACAGTTAATGCTTAACCAATAAATTGTGTGTGAGCTTCATCACAGTGTAAGGCAGATTCACAAGGTCAGGAACGCAGGTAAACTCTTCCAATTCTATTTTCTTGTGCACTCTGTACCTTCATTTGCATCCCCGACCAAAAATAAGCAAAGAACAACAAAACAAAAACCCCAGAAACCAAAAACCACAAGGCACCTTTTCCAAGGGTCACATCTCAGTTTAGCAGAACTTGCAGCCCTTTTGGAAATTAATCACTGATCTTTGTGTGACATCAAATGTCCTTGATGCAACTCTGTGAATCACACGACTTTCATCTTAATAGATAAAGAGTGTATAACCTGGTTAGGGGGAGATAATATTTGATACAGAAATCAATCCCATTGTTCATCAACTGCATAGTTAATTTATATATATATATATATATACACCTCAGGCATATTACCTAATTCTAATATGGCACTTCTAGAGATGTGACTAAGATACTTTCTTAGGGAAATAAGTAAAGTCTGAGTTAATCTTCAACGTGAAATGGTGTGGGAAGGTATTTTTAAATCACGGGTGTGCAGAGCAGCTGTCTGACACGAGGCTCACAGACTGTCAGTGTAAATACCATTGCCAGGTTCATGCAGTCACATAAGATGATTGAATTTGGGGGTGATATTCTCATGCAGCACCTACACAGTTCATCAGCTTCAGAGGAGCTGCACAGATACAAATGAGAGTAGAGCTTGACCTTTCCGATGCTTGACTGAGTCACCACTTCACCTCCGAGCTGATGTAACCGTAATGCACTTCGCCTTTACATCCATTTTATCTGCCTGCCGTTCTCACTGCTAAATATAAACCTGTTCTGGAAAGTTAAAGTGGACATGTGACAGTGGCCACTTTGGATAAGCCCCAGCACTCAGACACTGCCCTATTAATGGTTCCAGCGTGGTTGTGCCTGATGCTCCCCAGCGGCCGTGTTTGCTTTCTCCTGGATCACCTGGACTCCAGACAATCCATAAATGCAGCAGGAAAAAAAAAAAAAAAGCTCCTGGTTCACTGTCTGCTGCAGTTCTTTGCCTTTTCCTTTGCAAACAATTTAAATCTCAACAGAAGTAGGGACCAAATGTCTCAGCTCAGTTAGCTGGAAAATCTCAGGCATCAGGCGGGTTTTTAGGTGCAGTCTGGCACTGCACAAATGTCGGGGGCACTCGGTGTGCGGAGGCAAACGAGAGGCTGCCTCTCACATTTTTGATGTCAGCTGGAAGATGCACAGACAGGTCACCAAAGTGTTATTAGGACAGTGTTAATTAGGACAAACCTTTATCCTGTGACCGTGCTGTTCCAACCTGCGAAGGGAGAGGAATCCGCAGGAATGAAAACAATGCCTGGGCACCATTTCCTGAGCCTGTCAACATTAATTGTGATTTAAGACCTTCTGCTCCTCTTACCCGACAATAGAGCAACAGCACTAGCTCTAGAATGTAAATGATGAGGTCTCTGTTCCTGCTGGCAACCTTCAAAATTATCTTGTCATGAAAATACTGTTTTCCAGCGAGAAGATAATAGGTATTTCTTTAAAGGGGGTGGCTAGGTTGGTACTAATGATTTCTGTGTCAGCTCTGTCACTGACAGTACCATTTAGAAAAGAGCCTTGGCTGATGTCCTTAACACAGCACTATAAATGCAGAGACAGATTAGACTTCGAAACTTGCGTGTTCGAAATTTTGGGAGCTAAATTAGGATGGAGAGGGGGTGGTGTGAGGCTGCTGCCACTGCTGCATTAAACCCCAGTCTGTGTGTGGTGCTGCTCGCTCGCTTCCACAGATTGAAGGGTTTGCTGTCTACAATTGTTAACAGGAGGCAAACCCCAAAGGACTTCCTTTTACAAATGGGGCGTGAGTGTATTTGTTGAATTTCAGTCCTCAAAACTTTCATTTACTGTGTCTGTCTTAAATTCATCAGAGGGGGAAGAGCAGCCCAGTAGTAAGGACATCCCCAGCAGTGAAAGGTGTGGGTAAGAGTTCCAACAGCTTCACCCTGGGCAAGTGAGCAGGAGTAAAAAGAAAGCAGCTGCATCCCCAGATTCAGTGGGACATGTTGGGAATGTTTAGATCAAGAGGAAAAAAAAGTGAGAAATAGCTTTTGTTACAGATTCTGGTGGCATTTACACAGTGACAGTGCTCAACAGAGACAAGGCTGGGGTGTCCCTGTGTGTGCCAGAACTTGAGGTGTCTGCAGGAAATAGCAGGTGAAAATGTGAGCACCCCCAGGACTGGTGGTGAGTTGATGTTCTGGATGTTTTAAGTACCATTTAATTCTGATTTTTAAAACCTATAAATGGCTTGGTTCCACTCTTACTCCACAAGGGTCACCTGTGGAATTATTCACAGCAGACATGCCTTTATATCAAGTCTCTTTCTACCCTTTTCCCCACTATTCCCACACACACAGTGCTCTCATTCTCTTGCAAGGTTAAAGAACTGTTGGTTTTCACCTGACTATGGCAAGAGCAGAACTCACTGGCATTTCTGACCTGTGTTCTCATCATGTCAGTCAGTTTATGTGGCTGTCCATCTGCATCTCATGTTGCCTTGACCTGGCTAGTCCAAAGCTTATTGTGTTGCTTTGGGGTTTTTTTTCCTTTCTTTTCACTGTATTTTCTCCTTTTTTTATTTTTTTTTTTTATGCTACTGTTTCCTTTATGACCTTTGAGGACTCTGTATTTTAAACGTGGTTACATGAACTACATCACCTGCAATCACCAGTGAAGAAAGAATTTGGGGTTTTTCAGTTCCATGAAATAGTACTGTGGTTGTGGGAGGAAAGAGGAGGCCTGGGAGAGCCAAAAAGCAGGAGTATTACACAAATTTATCACAAGAAGAAGTTAGGCAACTACCAGAAGAGGGAAGTTTTAAGTACTAAGGCACCCCAGTTGTGTAAAGCACAGCAGAAACGAAATTATTCCCAAGTCTTGTCCCCATCCATACCACAAAGACACCCAAACCTGACTGAGTGTGGAATTGGGTTTAAACCAATTTAGTTTATTAGTTCTGATAGTTCCACAATGGTGTAAAAACGCCAAGGCTTTTCATATTCATGTAAAAAAGAAAGTTCTTACTCTTTACTCGTTTTAAAGTGAAATCAGCAAAAACAAGTGGTAATTCCTTAGAAAATGTTACGACAGAGAGATATTACTCTAAAAATGATTCAGAAGGATGTGGCCTGAAAACCTGTTTGAACAATTATTTGGGTCTGTTCTTTTTCTCCCCCAAATTAGTGTGAGTAGGTGAGTTTCTGTTGTTTTCCTGAAATACTCATGTCTGTGAGGGATGGTGTTAAAGCACAAAGGAGACAATTTTAAGATCCTGGGCTAATTAATTCAGATGTAATTATTTATGTTATTACTATTTGATTTTTCAAAACCTATGAGCAGCCTATGAATGTGAGACAATGGCAGGACAAAGCTTAATGGTGTCAAATTTAATACTGATGAGCATAATTTTTTTTATTCCCTGTTTATGAACCATCTGTCATTAGAAAGATTTGGAACCCAGCAGCAATAATCTAGGACTTATTTTCCTACTTAATAATAAAGGAATTAAAGCTGATAGTTCCAATATGAGGCAGCGAATAATTCTTCCCTGTGTTCTACTGGCTTTTTAACACTTGGTCCTTATCGGGTTTACTTGTCCCGTTCTTAATCTCGTCAGCCGCATTTCCACTGCCAAAGGAACACCCAGTGCCGCAGATAAAATGCTCGAGGTGTAAAAAGCTCCTGCTCAGAAGCTAAATCAGAATCACATGTCAGCACAGTTCAGGCTCAGGCTCTGGCAGGACGGGTGGATCATTGTTTTTAATGCAATTTACTAATTAAAAACGAGTCCCAGATTACGGAAAGTCTGGAATGAAGCGGCTTACTAAAATGGTGGTTTAGCGCCTTGAACTGGCCACACCGGAGTCTGCTCGTCATTAGACCGTAATTCAGCTGAATATTGCTCGGCGATGGCCAAACGCTCCTCTGACAGGACCCACCGGGGTTTGTGTGTCACGATCGTCCCCCTGTGTTCGAGCGCCGGGGGCGATGCGCGGCACGACTGCGGCAGGTGTATTTTATTCGGCAGATGTACAGTAAACGCATTACAGCAGATTAGCTGGATTTCTTCCTTTAAATGTACACTGCGAGATCCAACTTGCCAGCCAGCTGTTTCTTATCGGCCCGTGTAATCTCCCCGAGCCCGGCTTTGCCTCTTCCTCCCTCGGCTATTTCTGTAGCGGGTCGGGCGAGCGAGAGCGCCGCTATGAATTTTAATGTTTCCACCGGGGAATCCCTCCCGCCTCCTCTTTTTGGATGAGATCCTCGAGGAAAGACCCAGAACGCAGCGAGGAGGCGGAGGAGGAAGAGGAGGAGAGGGACGGCGTAGCCGCGGTACTGGGGGGCGCGGGCAGGGGGAGCCGCGGGGTGTGATCCGGGCAGGGGTGGGAGCCATGGGCAGGGAAGGATGGCTCGGGGCGTGCGTCGCTGCCTGACCGCGGCACGGCAGCAGCGGCAGCAGCCGGAGCAGCGCGGCCCCGCCGCCGCCCCCGCGCAGATGCGCCCGCCGGCATCCCCCGCGGCCGGCCGCGACCTGCTCAGCGCCGAGGGGATCCCGCCGGCTCCGGGCGACGGGCAGAGCCCGCGGACCGGCCGCTGAAGCCGCCTCGCCACCCGCACGAGAGGAGGAGCAGCCGCGGGTGCCCCATGGATAAGGCGGGCTCGCTGCACAGCTCGGTGCCCGCGCCGCCGCCCCGGCTGTACCTGCCGCGCAACTTCAGCTGCAGCGCCTGCCTCTATGGCAGCCTGGCCGAGCAGTGCCGGGCGGGCTGCAGCCCCGACGGCGACGCCGCGCCCACGCCCGTGGTGCGGGAGGCGGCGGGCGAGAAGCCGCCGCAGGCGCGGGGCCGGGAGCCCACGCTGCCCGCCGTGCCCCCCAGCCCCACGCAGCGCCGCCGCGCCAAGTCACTGCCCACGCCCGGCGACCGCAGCCTGCGCCCCGCGCTGCAGCAGAGCCCGTCGCGCCGCAAGACCGTGCGGTTCGCCGACTCCCTGGGGCTGGAGCTCACCTCCGTGCACCTCTTCTGCGAGGCCGACCTGCCGCGGGTGCCGCTGCCCGCGCCGCCCACGCCGCGCCCCGCAGACCTGCTCAAGACCAGGAAGCCGCCGGTGCTGGGGGACCTGGAGCCGGTGCTGTTCGGGCCGCCGCCGCCGCTGCTGGAGCCGCTGTTCCCGCCGCAGCCCGGAGCCAGCCCGGGCTTCGTGGAGCGGGTGCGGCAGCACAAGGTGAGGCTGGAGTGGGTGCGGGCGGAGCCCGCGGGGCTGCGCGGAGCCGTGCGCGTCCTCAACCTCGCCTACGAGAAGGTGGTGTCGGTGCGGTACACGCTCAATGGCTGGGCCAGCTGCGCGGACGCTCCCGCCGCGTACCAGCCGCCCGGGCCGCCCGACGGCATCACCGACCGCTTCGCCTTCCTGCTGCCCTTGGGCGCTGCCGCCGCCGAGGCCACGCTCGAGTTCGCCGTCCGGTACCGCGTGGCCGGCGCCGAGTACTGGGACAACAACGAGGGCAAGAACTACCGGCTGCGGGGCCGGCAGCGCGTCCCGCCCGGCACCGGCCTCCCGCAGGACCCCGACAGCTCCGCCTGGATCCACTTCATCTGAGCCGAGGGGCCGGGGGGACTCGCCCGCCGCCTCCCCGGGAGCCGCTGAGGGCTTTCCCCGAGTTCCGTTTACAGCGGGTTGATTTGGATTTTCGCTGGCGATGCCGGGGGACCCTCGCTCGCCTCACGGGCGGGTTCCCCTCAGCACCCCAAAGCAGTATCTGCCGGGGGGGCTCGGGGGACGTGCGGGATTGAGCGGCCAGGACCGGGCTCCGTGGACGCACATGCTTCCAGGGATCCATGGATGCACATGCTTCCAGGTGCCGGAGGGGCGGCTGTGGCCGCAGCAGGTGACACGGAGGGCAGGGTCACAGGGCATCCCTCCAGCCGCCCTATTTGCCTAATCCTGCTCAAGCAAAGCCCGGCTCCGGCGAGGGGCAGGAGCCGCGCTCAGAGCCGCGCTCACCCTCCCGAGTCAGTGTTGGGGTTAAGGGCCTGACCGCGCAGGGCTGAGGGACAGAGAACTGTTTGCAACCCAAAACGACGAGAGCAGGGATGCCCCGAGGTGTAGCTGCTTTTCATCATGCTGTAAAAATGTTCGGTTCAAAGCAAAGTTTTTTGTTGGATTTTTTTTTGTTGTTTGTTTGTTTTAAATTTTGAACCCTGTTTCGTGTATTTAAACATACTTAGAAAGAAAAAAAACAGTGTCACAGCCTAATGGAAAACGTAACTCTCCGAGAGACTTTAAAAAGAAAGCGTTTTGGTTTAGAACTCGTGTGGTACGTTGGTGGAAAGGTTTGGCAGGGTCTGGTGTCAAATCTGTAGGATTGGGCCCGTAAAGCTGCTTGTGTTCAGGTCAGCAGGAAAGTCGTGGGATTGCACTGAGGGAACCAGAGAGACAACAGGAATTGAATCCATAATTCTGGTCTGCATCACAAGCAACACTTTCCTTTTTATTCCTGTTGACGGTTTAATTGGATTTCTTGAGGTGTATCAGTGCAGGAACCTCCTTTCTGAAAAATTAAGTGCTCCAAATTTTTCCTAATACTTTCAGTAAGTGGCAGATTTCACAAACCTGGCAAAGTTTAGTCAGCCAAATCGAAGCAAGTTGTACCTTGCCATAGGAAAATACATCAATAAAAATCTCAGAGCGGGCTGACTTCTGCCTTCAAAGGTATGCTTTAAAAATGTTTTTGAATTGTATTAGCAGTAAACGTAGCATTTTCCTTTTTAAACTTGGGTTTTTGGGAGTTCAGCTGAGGGCAGGTTGTGCTGGTGCCAAATCTGGGTGCTAATTTTCCAGGATTGAGGGCGGGGGTGTGTTTGCAGGAGAGGGACCTCTGCAAATACGACTTCTGAGAGTGGCAAAACCAATGTCAGTGAGATTTTCTGGTTATGAATGGCTGTGAGGTCAGGCCTTTGAGGGTTTGGATCTTCTGTACGTTGTTGATGAATGAAATGTGATTTTTAACTTCATTTTTATGTTCTTTGAAAGAGTTAAGTGTCCCAAGCAGCTTGAGCAATGTCTGGAGTAATGAGTTCTCACAGAACCTTTTGACTTCAGTGGGAATTGAGAGCACTTTTGTCTCCTGAGGGTTTGGTTCAGTCAGAATAATTAAACTTTTGAATTCGGGGGAAAAAAAAGAGGTCTGGGAAGTTGATGGGAAGAGAGTATTTAATTTAATTTCTCTGGATCGCTGTCTTTGATTTAATGGAAGCAATAGCAGGACTGCTTTCTGTAGCACTGGTAACTTGGTTTTAATTTCCCAGGCAGTTTTCTAATCCCTGTGTTTTTAGTGAAACAGAACATAAGAGAAATGTACTGTCAGCATCTCCTGGGCATTTCACATTTTAGAATATTAAGATTCCCATCTTGCAATGCAGTAATCCTGTAAGTTGCTAGAACACGTACACAAAGCTAGGATTGCACAATTAGGGTCTTCAAATGCTCATGACTTAATCATATTAAGTGGTGTATTTGATTTAAAAAAAAAAAAAGCCCAAGTGTCTTTTAGTTGAAATGATATTTTTTATAAGAGCCTTAATAGTGGAGAGAAGGAAAAGGACTTGTCTCCATTTGAAAGCACTTTGAAATCTGTAGAACTACAGCAAAACATCTTTTATTTATGTGTTAGAGCTTTCCAAAGCACTTTTTGCTTGGCCTTTTTCACCCAAAGAGTGAACCAACAGCTGGATGGGTTGGACTGATGAAAATGCTGGGAGAAAAAAGCAGTTTCTGTGCATTTTAGAGCAACTGATGCTGCAGCTTTGCTTATGAAGTTTTAACAAGATTTCTGTTTACTGTTTCAATGGCTTTGGAAACAAAAGCAGGGCTAAAACCATTTTTAACAGTGAAGAATTCCAGAACTCCAAAATTATTTCCCAGTGAGCGGCAGTTCTCATTGTCATTTGATTTATGCAGCGTCTGCAGGTCTCTAAAAAAAGTCTGAAAAAAAATCTCCTTCGAACACCTGTGGCTTAAACTGAATTCTGTGAGTAACTTTAGGGGCTTGGACTTGAGCAGAGATTATGGATAACACATTCAAGTCCAGTGACAGCCATGGCCTCCTGGAAGCATTTAGGAACAGCTCCTTTTCCAGGCTGGAAAGGTGGGGCTGCACCAGCCAGCTTTGACTTGAGAATGCTCTTGGTGAGGTCCATGGGAGGACATTGAGGTGTTTTAATAGAAATTATCAGTGGTGTCTGCCCAAGTTGCACCACTTCAATCCCATGTGTGCACTTCTATCAGGTGAATTTATTTCCAAGCAAGACTTACTCAGATTCCCAACCACGTGTTTTGGGTTGAGTGTTTTGTCCATTCACAGAGTTCCCAACCCGTTGGATTTCAACCTGATGCCACCTACGTGTGGCTTGCGGGAAGCACTGCGATAAATGGAGATGAAATGAAGATATCAAACGATATTTATATAATATTTACATAAACAATGACTTTGAGGAGGATCCTGAAAGGAATCAAAGCTATGGACTGTAAATGGAATTTCAGCGGGCTAAGCATATTATTTATGAGCAGAAAAACTGAATAATTGTACATAATTTTAGGTAAATTATTTTTTTTTTAGCTTTTACAACTCTTTGCTGTGAATGTGTGTGCCTCAGAATCTCAGAAAACAATAGAATAGGTGCACACTCTGTCATTTCAGCAGATGTGAGGAGGAAAATGGATCACTTGAATGAACAAATGTCTGCTCATGCAGAAGCATCACCCCTTTACAGACGTGAAGTGTTTTTCCATAGAGCCAACAGGCAAGCAGCTGCTAATTTTAATAAAAAGTAGTCTACAGAAACACTCAGAATCTGATATTTAATGTATTATTGAGTATATATTAAAATTTTTATGTGCCTTTCAGCATTTCCTAGGAAGAAATCTCATGTGTTCCTTTGCTCTCCCACCAGAAGTCCGACAAGGGCTTTGTCATTAAAATGAAATTTATACTAAAATATAAGAATCTACTTGAATTCCTGACACATTCTCAGCTGTGCCAGAAATCCTGAATCTGTAGCAGCTGGAAGAATTTGATTATATTTTCCCATATTACAATGAAAGAAATGTCAGTCAGAAATATGTCTTCCTGATACACCTCTACAGTTGTCTGGTTAATTTAAAAGAAAACATCTGTGACTACAGTTAATATAACAAAATATATTATTGAATGAATGAAGGTATTCCTGAGCACTGAAATGAAGGATTTTCTTCTTAAGGCAAGAAGTCAATATAGTCAATATTGTTGTAAAATGGATCCCTCAGCCTTCTGTGGAGCTGGTCAGTGTTTTGTTTAAAATGGAAGGTGGTGGAAGATTTCAAAATGAAACCTGTTCAGAACACACCTGATTCGAAGGAAGGTTTTCTCAGGTTCAGCTTATTAGGAGAGAATTGCCCCAAAATAAATAAGATTTCATCCCTGCCCCCCTGTATGGACTTGAATGTAAGTCTTCCATGATCAAAGTGGATGCTGAGCTATAAAACCACTGGCTATTGCTCGGATTCTTTCTTTATCCAACCTATTAAAAATATGACTTTTTACTTCATAGAGAGGATTTTTTGACCCTAGCTTTCCCCATCTCATGGGAATATCCTCTTCATTCAGCTCTACTGTTGAGAGAGGTCTGATTTTTAATTTTATGCCACATAAGAAGATTATTTCACATTATTTTTTCGGAGGGGGAAGGCAGGAAAACTCGTTTCCCTCGCAGTTTTAGTTTTATAACACAAAACAGTAGCATGCAGCCTGAAAATTGCTTGAAATAACATATGCACTAGTGATTCCAAAGAGTATAGCTAAGAAAAATGTCCAGTGTGAGATGTGCTTTTTTTATAAAAAAGAAAAAATATATGTGCTTTGGTCTTGTCAGGCAGGGAGAAAGTTCTAATCTGCAGTGCAAGTGTATCAATGCCAGGGATTTCTTTCTATGCAATTCTATGGTGCACCTGGTTTTTTTAGGTGACTGGTGTAGCTGATGTTATCAGTGTGTTTGTTGTGTGTAGAATATTCTGTTCAAAGTGTCATTAAGGAAATTGTGTGTCTTAAACTTTAGGCTTTTTTTTCCTGTCCCATCTGACTTCACTGAATCATAATAATACTCCTCTGGGTGGAAGTACCAAGACAATATGTCATCAAAGTGGCTCACACCTTACACGCTGCCACCTTCCAGGACAAAAATGTTGTGTTACTGTTGGGAGTTTTAAACTTTTTTTGGTATTTCTGTATCTTAAAAAAAAAAAAAAAAAGCCAATTTGTATTATACTTTTAAATTCGAGGAGCTAATGTGGGTGTTTTTGAAGCTGATCAAAAGCAGTAAAACTGAACTTGGTTTTACTCATAAATCCAGTTTCCAAACTGTGGCACAACCAGCGTTTGTGCTCCTCCTGTCCTGACTTCAGGGAGCTGCACCCAGATGTGAAGTTCAGGTATTTTAAGGTTGATCCAAACCGAGTTCCACCTGGGTGCAAAACCTGCCAACATCTGGGTGTGAATCCACGCTGTAACCCAGGAAAATCCTGCTGTGACAGAGAATTGCTGTCCTTGGAATGGTCTGAACAAACCTGAACTCCACATGCAAGTTTTTAATACTGTTTCTTTGCTTTAACTTTGTTTTTAAAAGAATATGTTACTTGACTGGGAAATTACTTTTGGTTGTAGCGTCTTCTGCAATGTTTATATTTCACCAGAAAATGTTTGTTTCTAACGTTTGTAAAAAGAAAAACAAAAACAATAATGTGATGTCACCAGAAGTCAAAAATCAATGTTTTCTAAGAATGCCTTGTACCTTACCCAGCCTTACGGTATTTCTGATGATTTTCCACCCAAAACCACATCTAGTCACTGGTTGTCACAATTATGAAAAATATATATATATATATTTATAAACCTGTAGCTTCTAGCTGCCATTAAAGATTAATGATACAAATCATGGTGACTATAAACCTCTTTTTTTGTTTTTTTTTAGAACTGGCAAACCGTGATGTCATTTTTTTGTTGGGGATCTGAAACAAATGTGTCCCAATGCACCCACCGAGCTTGTGTGAACCCATGTTGGGATGTACCTGCACATCTGAAGCAAATCTCTGATATTTGGGCCAGGTTTTGCAGCCAACCTGTCTTAGGAGGGTTCTCTGTGGAAGCTGCACTTTTCAGCTTTCCCTTAACCAATACTTTTAAAGCCTTTTTTATAACATGGGTAAAAGCCACATGGCCACAAAGAGAAAAAATGTTATGTGTTTATTCTCCTGTAATTTGTGCAACTTATTTTTCTATTCTCTATCAGAAATATCTGTTTAGCTGTCTCATTAATGATATTTTTCTTTGCAAGGGCAAACTAATTAAAATTAGCCCTAGATTTCTTTTTTCCTTTTTTTTTCTTCCCCAGAGGGAATGTTTTGTGATTTAACATCTATCTTATCTTTCTGTTCAAGTAGAAATGAACTCTTAGCCCACATAAATGATAGAATCTAGAACTGTTTTCTTAAGGTGCCACAATACAAATACTAGACTGTAATAGTTAGAATAATAGAGTGTAATTTCCCTTTTGTTTGGTGAGGCAGATGCTTTGAATTTAAAGCTGCTGTTATGCTTGAGTGACCTTGAAGTAATGAGATTACAGTTCAGAGTGAAATTGTAATGAAGTCATGGTGCTCTAAAAAAAAGGAAAAAAAGAAAGGAATAGTTTTACATTGATCTTTAGTCTTGGATTAATTTTTCTTTTTTTTTTTTTTTCCGCTCTTAAATGGTACAAAATAGGACTCTGGTAATTCATCTGATGATTAATCAGAATTACTGTAGATAGTCTTATTAATAACAAGTGTTGAAATGTATGAAGTATTCAGACAGTTTTACTACTACTAATGATGATGATAACAAACCCTATTTCCTACTGTCCCTCTCTGGGTGTTCCTTGGAGTCTCCCCACAGTTTTTGGTGTGTCCAGGGAGCTGAGGCCCTCTCAGAACAGCCAGGACTTGCCAAGATCACTTATTTCTGTCATTTTTTTCTGATCCAGACCCGTGCAGTGAGGAAGGGAGGTGGGTGATGGCTGCACAACAGAAGTACTCTTGAGTTTAAGAAGTGCAGACTCATCCTCCTGCCTTGTGGATTGACTTTCATGGCCAGAGAAAGGTACAAGTGCTGCACTTCCATTAAAATGCATCTCTCAGCAAAATACATTCAACAGCATCAATAATTAAATGCCATAAACAAATGACAAATAAAACAGCCTAATAGCGAAGGATGTAGGGTGCTTGTACTGCATTAAGATAGATCAGGTCTGGAGTGACTGAACTGTGCTTTGTCAGGAAGAGAGAAACAGCAGTTGTGAGGCAAACAAACCCATCCAGATACCACAGACTCAGCTCTCTGCCAAGGACTGTCCTTAGACCGTGCCTGAATAGTGTGGGCAAAGTGGAGAAAATTACATTAAGGACACTCCTAAGCTGCTCTCAAAATTTGGCTGTGCCATCTGCAGCATATCTTGCTGGGAATTCATGCTGGTGGATATTGCTGGAGAGTCTTTTACTGTGGTCTCACATCCTGCTCCCTGGGAACAGCTTGCCAAAGGATGTTGTTTGCCATTAGTCCAGCCACATGCTGATGGGTGCAATAAGAGGAGGTTTAAGTGATTTCCTTTGTTCCATAGAGTGCTGTGAGAAGCGTGTTTTAAACGTTTTCAGTGAAGCAAGAGGCGCTCAGTGTTTCTGCTGACCTTGCAGTTGCCCCAGACAGGTGAGTGACCCCGAGGCTGAGGTGTCACTGCAGCCCCGGGGACCAGGCTGGGCCTTCCCTGCCCCATCTGTAACGATTTGAGTGCCACCCTGTGGTGAATCCATGCGGCAATTTCCCTTTTTAATTGCAGTTATTTAAATCAGCACAGGTCCCCCGCTCACGACCTGAAGCATTCCACCCACGGGTGGCATCCTGCTGTTAATTAATTCTGCCATATTTTTAGTCTATAATATTTAAGTTCTTAAACTCAGGGTCAAGACTTAGGAGGTCACAGATAAAGGGGTTATTTTGTAAGAAATCACCTCCTTCGATAATTTTCTGTAGGAGGAATCGGGAAATTCAGTAAGTCACCCTGTGTTGGATAAAACCCTAAAATAATTAGGGATAGAGAGGCTCCTGGCCCTCCTCTTTAAGCAAAAGAACATCCATTCTCCAGCTGTACACCATGAAAGGCTGAATTCTGTTTCAGATGGTTTTTTTCAGGCAGTTGTCATTTACCCACACTCACGTACTTAAACTGCTAGTACAGTTTAAATGGGCAAACTTTAAAGGAAGAGAGCAGAGTTGCCAGTTTTTACTGTTCTCCAGGTCCCTTAGGGCGTTACAGAAATTACTATTTTACTGATCAAAATGAAAGGATACAAGTCTTTTTGAGGGGAAATGGTATAAAAATGCATTCCAACGCTCTGGACTAACCTTTGAAGGGAGAGCTTCAAGGGTCATGTATTACATGGCAATGAATGATGGGCTTCCTAAAACTGTGGGAAAAAAATGGTGGAAGAAACAGTATCAGACAGAAATATTTTCCTGCATTCCAACCCCTCCATTTGCCTGAACTTACTGTGTTGGAAACAAACTTTCTTCTTCCCTTCCAAAGTGCCTAAGGGGGTGGAAGATCCCAACTGAGGCAGAGAGTCTGTAAAAAGCCAGGATCAAGCTCCCAGCTCTCTGGGCCCTGGATGTTGTCACAATAAATACTGCATGGTACTGTGAATAATGGATAAGCACTGAGGGGTTTTAAAACATTTACACCAGGTTTACAAGAGCCTTTTGTTTAATCAACCACTGCCGAGTCAGAATTCCCAGGGACCAGTCAAAGCCCCTCTTTCCCCTTAGTCACTCTGCAGTTTAACTCCTGTGGAGATGATGAAATTGGATAACTGGACTCTCCCTTGGCAGGGGTTTGATCTGTGTGGGGAAAAAATTGCTCCTAGGATTTAAAGCAAAAAAACACAACAAACCACCAAACCAATTACTTTGACATCCCTTCAGATCAGAAAAGAAATCCTCTTTTTATACATTAGAGAGGTTTTTCTATGACCAGCACTGTATTTCTGCCTTTTAGAAGGGCTGTGCTTCACATCCTTTTAGAAGAAGGGACTTTCAAAGGAACATGGATTTTGCCTTAGTCATCTGATATGAATGAAGCATTCCCCTGCTTCCTCTTAGATAAACTGTTTTGTGCTTAGCTGCTAACAACCATTTCTAAATTGTGAAAAGAAGTTTTAGACCAAAGCTCTGCTATATTATCCTCTTTTCCTGAAGTGCAGGTGTCCCATCAAGTTTTAGTGCACAGTTGTGGGCTTATTAAACATTAAGCCCAAGGGAATCAGCTGTTTTACTTTACTGGTTTGCAAAGGGAGTTTTGGTTTCAGTTGCCTACTTGCTACAGACACCAACTTGACAGTTTGATATGTCAAACTATTGCTGATCACACAATTTACACAATATCTGCTCTTCTGAAAACACCACAAGAGGCAGAATCAGTTCCTTAACTATTTGTGTCTTAGGTGGTTTTCACTGGGCAAAAATACAGCCTAAATAATCCACTCTAGAACCTTGAAAAACTTTCACTGACCAAACTTTGCATCCCAAAAAAAGCACAGAAATGGGAAGACAAGGCCCAGACCTGCTGCCTCCAGGCAGGACTAGTTGAGGTAGCTGATATGCCTTCTTTTTTTGCTGGCATCAACTTTTCGTCTCTGAGTAGGAAGAATATGAGGAGATTAGGGAGACACTGCTTTTCAACACCTTGGGAACAATATAAAAGTATTGCAGGGAAAGCAGGTTACAAAAAGAGTCATGTGCCTACCACAAAATTACCACATTAAGGCTGTTGTTACTAAGTTTGATGTCAAAGGAATTTTGGAAAGTATATATTTTAGCCAATTTCATTTCCCCAAGTATTAGAGAGAACATTCTGGAGTTGAATGAATCAGACAAGAGAATAAAAAACCCTCTCAAGTGCCCAGATGTGGAACAGCTTTATCACTGCAGTTATTTATGGGCCTGTATATGTGATCCTAAGTGGTATTTTTCAGGTTGCCAGGTCTGGATATTCTGTATGTCCTCGATTGATGACAAACTACACTGAAATATTTTCTATGAATTTATTTCATTATTCCAGCTCAGTCCTCAATGGATTTTATGTATTTCTCATAGGCATCTTCGGTCATCAGTTCATCAAGTTCAGCAGGGTTTGCCACAGTCATCTTGATAAGCCAACCTGTGGTTAGGAAATTAAAAAGAAAGAGTTGCTAACATCCTACAGGGAAGGTTCATTCATGTTCCTGCCTTAGGAAAGCACTCCCAGCAGGCACATCAGCCCTGGATCACCAGAGAATCAACTGGATTTTTGTGCAGGCAAAATATTTCAGTATTAACAAAAAAAAAAAAGAACAATCAGCCAAACTGTCATAAGAAATGGCCTTCTGAGTCAGACCAGTTGTGTAATTTAGTGCTGGCTCTGCCAGTGGCATTAAGGAGAGAGTGTCTAGAAAGAAGAGAGGAGCCTGACCTCTCAGGATCATGAGCTGTTACAAGATCCAAGAAACAGAAATGCAGTCAAGGGAAATACATTTAAATTCAACCACAGCCTGTGTCTGAAGAGAACACACTGTAAAACAGCTTGTCAGAGACAAGGCTGTGATAATGCTTTCCTGTTAAATTTTATTGGGCTTGAACCATATTCAATATATTCCATTAAAGCCTCCACACCATTAAACTGGAAGGATGGGAATTGCAGAGCCATTTGTGACAGCAATAATCCAGGGGGTATTCGTTATGGGAAGGTAAAAATGACAGCTTACCATCTTGATAACAAGATTTATTGACAAGCCCTGGATTATCTGCAAGGGCACCGTTAATCTCAGTTACTTCTCCTGAGAGAGGAGAGTAGAGTTCACTAGCAGC